TGGCAGGCCTACCCAGCCAGTTTTAAACATGAATTTTAAACTTCTCTTGTGTTTTATCTCTTTCTGTATTTTAATATGTATTTTATAGAAATACATTTTAATATGTGTATTTACAGAATTTTTACAATGTGTATGTGCTTTAATTATGCTTTAACCTGCCTCGAGCCACAAGAGACAGGTAAGAAATAAAATAATTGTTATCATTATATGACCTAGGCTAGCTCAACTCATTGATTTACAGATACTCCTACTCTTTGTTGTCACTGTTCCCTACCATATTATCTGAAAATTCCCTATCCCCTTAACTTCTCCCATTCTCCAGTTGCTATTCTTCACACATCGGTTCACAGTTAAAGATTTTTCCCAACTGTCCCATAAAATCTTATGTCTGAGAGCTTCTGGAAAAGAAATATCTAAATGTGTCATTTCAAAATTTATCTGAGATATTATTTACTTAAATTTTGTGATTTCAATTTTTTTCTCCTGCATTCCTATTTACAGGGAAACCACAACTATGCTTTATTAAAGAAATGCATTTCCCAAAGTAGGTATTTTGCAAATTTGATTTTTTTTTGGGGGGGGGGGGAGTGGAGAAGATGATAATAAACGTGGTTTATGCATTTCCCAATAAACACTGTATATCTCCTAACTTGTATGCAGAACACATCATGCGATGTGCGGGGCTGGATGAATGCAAAGCTGGGGTGAAAATTGCTGGAAGAAACATTAACAACCTCAGATATGCAGATGACACCACTCTGATGGCCGAAAGCGGAGGAGCTGAGGAGCCTTCTAATCAAGGTGAAAGAAGAAAGCGCAAAAGCCGGGTTGCAGCTAAACGTCAAAAAAACCAAGATTATGGCAACAAGAATGATTGACAACTGGAAAATAGAGGGAGAAACCGTGGAGGCTGTGACAGACTTTGTATTTCTAGGTGCAAAGATTACTGCAGATGCAGACTGTAGCCAGGAAATCAGAAGACGCTTACTTCTTGGGAGGAGAGCAATGTCCAATCTCGATAAAATAGTAAAGAGTAGAGACATCACACTGGCAACAAAGATCCGCATAGTCAAAGCAATGGTATTCCCTGTAGTAACCTACGGATGTGAGAGCTGGACCATAAGGAAGGCTGAGCGAAGGAAAATAGATGCTTTTGAACTGTAGTGCTGGAGGAAAGTTCTGAGAGTGCCTTGGACCGCCGGAAGATCCAACCAGTCCATACTTCAAGAAACAAAGCCCGACTGGTCATTAGAGGGAAGGATATTAGATATAAAGTTGAAGTACTTTGGCCACATCATGAGGAGACAGGAAAGCCTAGAGAAGACAATTATGCTGGGGAAAGTGGAAGGCAAAAGGAAGAGGGGCCGACCAAGGGCAAGATGGATGGATGGCATCCTTGAAGTGACTGGACTGACCTTGAGGGAGCTGGGGGTGGTAACGGCCGACAGGGAGCTCTGGCGTGGGCTGGTCCATGAGGTCACGAAGAGTCGGAGACGACTGAACGAATGAACAACAACAACAATCTCCTAATTGGGGCTGCCATGTAATCTCCTCTCTTTCAAAGGGATCTTGCACAAATCAAATTTAAAGCTAAAAAATTAGCATAGCATCCAGCTTGGTACATTTGCACCTACTGTTGAAGAGATGTGATCTCCTATTAGAGTAATGGAACTATCTTTATGATATGAAGTGGTCTCTCTACTTAGTAGTGTTTTTTATCACGGACCTTTAGCTTGTAGCATTCTTATCTATGTTTACAAGATGAATTAAAATAGTTTTGGGATATGCTCAAATGATGGTGTGCTGTTGCCCAAGCTGTTTCTTTGGCAATGATATGTCTCAGCTCTCTATCAGGATGTTGGTTTGCCTTCTTTTGGAACAAGGAGACCCACAGAATTAATGTCCACACTGTTACTTTGAGGAAAACAGAACTTAGGTCTAACTCCACCCAGACACTAGCTTTATTTCCCCACAGCAAAGTTAATATTTCAAACTTGAAAGATAGCTTAATCATTCTGAAGCTGCCTGATGTGGATTTTCCAGAGGCATTTCTTGAATTTACCTGATTGGATCTAGATTTATGGAGTGTCAAATTGATATGCCTAGGATTGGTTGCCACTTGGGGTCACAATGCTTTTCTCTGTGACACTAAAGATAACAGCAGCTGCAAATGGCCAACATTACCAATTCTGCAAACAATGGAATTGCAAGCTTGGGCAGTGGTGAGCTGGATGAAAGGCACAAAAATGGCATCCTTCACATTTATCAAATTATGGCACAAAAAAGACCACAGGTCACATAGCAACAAGAGCCACAAAGTACAAAAATTACAGAAATGAGACAATCCTTGTATGAATCGTAATTTGGCATATTTTGTATGGCAGCATAGGAAAGACAATCTTAATACGAAAATACTTGGCTAAATGGCACACTTTCATCAACGTTAAATTCAATGCCTTAGCTGAAACATTTGAAAGCAAAGATGACACTAGTGAAACTCTTCACCATCCTACACTCTGGTAAAGACATTTTTTGGTTTGGGGTATATGATACATGTGCAATCTTATCAAGAAATCTCTAAGCTTCATCATGGGCCTCCCTTGGAGATTCACACAATTGACTGCTGTTTTGGAAAATGAGCAAAATAATTTCTTAGGTTTATCTTATTACAGGCTGATAGAGGGAAACATCAATATTACACTGTTGATATTGTTTGCCCATTCACATTAGCATTATAATGGCCTAATTGAAAGGCTTTGTGGATGGCCAGAAACAGGATTGTACAAGTCCCAGCATGTTTCAGCACAGGTGAAGATTTCCAGATACTGCTAGACTGCTACCCCTATGTTCTAGCCATCATATCCACTAGGGAGGGATAGAGCCACAAAAACTAGCTGTTTCTCTTGAATTATTATTATTATTATTATTATTATTATTATTATTTTGTATGCTTATATACCGCAATATCTCAGCCTACAACGGCGACTCATTGCGGTTAACAGTACTTAAAAACAACAATAATCAAACAATTTAAAAGCATAAAAAACATATATAGTACACAGTATCGGGCCACCAATACCGACCAATGCATCTCTTAGTTAAAATCATAATCCGAATTCATCGTCAATAATTACCAGTCCTTGTCATCAACTTCATCGCACCGGATTACCCGAATGCTTGTTCAAACATCCATGTCTTAAGTTTTTTTCGAAATACCAACAGCGAGGGAGCTGATCTTATCTCTATAGGGAGGGCATTCCAAAGCCGAGGGGCCACCACAGAGAAGGCCCTGTCTCTCGTTCCCGCCAGCCGCACTTCTGAAGTTGTTCTGAAGTTATTCTGAAGTTGTTGAATAACAACAGAGTGGGCTCACAAAAAAAGGACAGTGGGTGAAGTACTGGTGGTAGGAGCCAACAGAGTTGGAGAAAAGTTATAATGTTCCAGATTCAGTACAAGATGTGTATTTTTAATGTTTACCGAAGAAAAGTTACTTTCTCAGACTACCATATGTGAATCCCAGACAACAAGGGCAGCTGGGAATCTTAGAAAAGTAATCTAAAATACTAATTTTTCCCACCTCTACATAGGAAACAGAATTTGAGTAGTTACTCTTTTTTCCTGCCATACAAAGGAGTGCTTGCCAGCATCTATTAAAATGTCCCTTCTAAGCAGCTATTCAAAAAGTATAGTGTTCTGGTCATATTTACTCAAATGGAAAATTAATGATCCTAATCCCCCCTCCCTTTTTTTGTTTAATGAAGACAGTAATGAGTTATAAAGAAACGTGTTTGCAAAAGGTTGTAGGTTTACTAATATTTCCCCATTTGTATCCAGTTTTATGACTCCATCCAATAACATAAAGACTTGTTCCACTGATATCATACATAGTTCAGGTTTCACACCCATGGGTGCTGAAGACTCATACGTTTATTTTTAACATATAGATGCCATCACATCACATTCTAAAGAGAGGTGGATTACCAATCACAATTTTCACTGCGTTTTCTGATGTGCAGAGACCAGGATTCTGTTGCTCACGTAGACATGGATTATGCAGGGTTTTTTTACACAATAGAAAATGGTATATGACATCTCCTTGGGCAATATCACCACCAGGACCACAGAAGTCTGCTTTAAAGGTCTGGAACATGCTTCCTGATCATTTGTGGGCCAGGGGAGGGATGAGGAGAAAGTTGCCAGTGTCCATGCTGATCTGCAATGGGTTGTCATGGGTTGTGATTCACAGGAAAGCTGGGAAGGGATCAGTGGCTTTCATTTCCCAGCTGTAGAACTGTGGCCGGATGACTGTTGCCCACCCACCTCCCACACTCTCCTAGTCATTAAGTGGCTTGAGGAAGCCGGTTCAAGCATTTCAAAGCTGCCTTTTGTTGCTGTGGTGGTGATGCAGAACTTCACAGGCCAGAATGCAATAAATGCATACATCTATCTCTTATACTATCCTGTACAGCAATATGCAAAGTCTCTGAAACCATTGTTCATATGAGAATACATGAACGAGGTTTCAGTAAGTGCATAGAGTATAATTTAGTATTTTAATCTATGTACCTACTGAAAACAAAGACCCAATCTGAGGCAATAACTAAGCTGCATAGTCTTAAACACTGAGCTTTTGGGGAAAGCATTTAAAATTTTGGAAATTAAAACAAACTCATGGTTTATTTTCAGGTGAAAAAGACTTGTTAATGTTATCTTTCTACTCTTGTAGGACAGTGATTTTTAATATGCACAATGTGCTGCCTCTATATGTTTCCTTTACCTTTGGCTAGTATTTGATAACTCTTTTTGGGCCTTGTGCAAAGCTGGCAGAAGAAGTGGGACAGAGGTTTTTGTGCAACTATCCACACTGAATGTTGAGCATAGATTTCGTTTGGAACCAAACACTGGACTTTTACATTCATTTAGAGTATCCTCCATCTCAGCATCAGTAGATGATCAGTGACTTCATAAGACTGGTGGGACACATACTGAAGACATCACAATTACAAGCGGGCACAGTTTATTCTCTCAACACTCACACTGTTTTTGCTTAAGAGCCAAAATAATTTTTAAAAAAACCCTTTTATTAGTTCAAAATTGTATCCTTTCCCCCTATTGTTGCACCTTTTTAAATTGGTTTGATTTCCTCTTTCTGTTTCCATTTAGAGTATTAACTATGTTTGGAGTTTCAAATGTTTCAGAAGAGGCTCATTTGTCTTCTGTTCCAACCCCGCCTCTCTTCTTACCCCTTCCCAAAACAAAAGAAATCTTCCCAAGACCCATATAAATACATGCAAAACATTGTACATAGAGATTAAATAATATCAAAATGCAATTACAGATCAGGTGCACTTTAAGCTTGACTCTAGAATATGGCAAACACACCAGGGGTACATATTGCTTTGAAACCACCATTTTTAAATGTCATGCATACCACATAATATTCATTCTTTTGTTTTGTATTTTTTCTTTTTTTTAATACAAAAATACCAGTGCGTATTATACTAGTTACTGCAAAAAGGGAAAACTTAAAATTCTTATATGCATGCTTTTTAAAAAATGAAATTCAAATAAATATACATACAAATATTGATTTTAATACTGTATATATATTTATTTATGGGCAGGAAAAACCAAACAGGTAGTCTTAGCCATGGGTTTTCTAAAGGGGACATGGATTTGCAAATAGGGCTTCTTTATTTTTGTTTAGTAGGAATATTGCCACCACAAAGTACAATCCATTGAAAGGGGGTAAGGTTATTAGGAGGGTGACTGCAAAAGTGAAGCTGTCCAAAATGCTCTTCTTTCATCAAGGAATAGACCTTGAATGGTGACCTCCTGAGCAGATGAGAAGAGCAGAAAGTTGTTGATAAAAGACTTCCATGGTATACATAGAAGTTACAATCACCTTCCCATCTCCTTATAAGACTTGCAGCCATTGCAACAGTTTGCCTCAAGACAAAGGGGCCAGAAAAATAAATGCTGCACAAGGCAAAACTGGGAAGAATGCAATGGGATAGAGAGAGAGGTCTTCGATCTCCCCCTTAATACATGGTCCAGGTCTGCAGTGAACTCAGACTGAGCCCACCGACAATGGCAACAAGTACTGATTTCCCAGAGGAGAATGAAACATGAAATTTATATACTTATTTAAACATTTCTGTATACACTTTGGTTCATATTTGCCCATGGCTAAAAGTACAATAAGATTTGTTTTCCTTCTGATTTTTTTAAAAATAATAACTTCTCCGAACTTATTGCACAAAAATTAAGTCAGATCCCTGTGCAACTTAATAAAAATAACTAATTGTATAAGTCTAGCTCCTAAAATGGATAGTCTCCATTGCACACAGGAAATCGTGTAATGTCTTTGGTACCAATCTGCCAATTTTTAACAATAATAATAATAATAAATTCCTACAAAGTTCTATGAAGAACTGGATGCAAAACTATATCCAGGGTGCTTTTCTTAAAAAAAAAAAAACCCCAACAACAACAACAAAGCATTCCAAGGCAAAAATAACACACTTTACAGGATATTATGTCATTTCCTGTCTGGCATGGCACGAACTTGAATGATTCCCACCCACTCCCTCCTTGCCACATTCACCTTTATTGTCTGAAAAGGTCATTCCATTGCTTATGGTATGTTTCACAGAAATTACAAACTATCCCCATCCAGCCAAAATAGACTACCAGCATGTTATTTTATGTGGTTCCCTTTAAATGGATGTTATCCAAGATGCACGCAAAAGGATGCTGCATGGGGCAACCAAACAGAACTAAATACAACACAACCACAACCAGATTCCACCTTCATCTCGTACTGGGGTTGGGGAATTGCATGCTGATCTCAGCTAGATTTGGATTTATTTACTTTTCTCCCGAAAGACAGTGGGTGTAGCCTATTTTTCCACACTGCTGCTCAACTGTCTGTTGAAGGGAAAGGGGTTAATTGAAAGGAAATACCCCTTTCCCCTTGCGCCCCCAAATGGGATCACTTCTATCAAAGGACCACAAAACATTGGCCAAACAGGCAATCACTTCCATTGATGGGCCATAAGACGTTGGCCACCTGTTTGGCATTACAATGATCAACAGGTGATATCTTCCCTCAATGGACCACTGTAAATGTGGCCATCTGTTTGGCATGCGTGTGCATACAAAGATCAGCAGATTGCAGTTTATGCCTTTTATTGACAACACTCTTTATTTTGGCCACACGTGCGATGGGTTCCTCAATAACGTAAGCCAGTCAACTGCTGCCAGTTTTATCACTGAAACTAAAAGAATTTAAAAAAAGGAACCACCCAAACCAACCCAATTTTACATTTAAAAATGTATGCACAATAAACACTTATACTTTAAGCAAACCAGCCATATCAACATAATTTATATAAAAACATTTCTGTATAACACAATTGACTTTTAGTACAAAGATGGCTGTTCAGAGAAAGGAAGCTGATTGGAGTCTGACCAATCATGAAGTGTCAACTGCCAGCCATGTGACTACATTCCACTGCAGTTACATAACTCACAGCTTAGTTTCCTTTAAACAAAATACATATGGCTGACTTGAAAATATCTGTTTCTGATCTAAAGAAAACTATATTTTTTGCATAATATTTATATAATTATTCTCTCCCTCCCACTTCAGGAAGCTAGACACAAAAAAGGAAAATAAATTGTACTAAAATGTAGGCCTCACCACAACCTGTCAGTTACAGATTTCTGGGAGTGAGTGTTTTATTTTTCATCCAAAACAACTTTGAGGTAATAAAAAAATTATCAAACATAAAAAATTAGTTTCCCCCTTACCCTAAATCTTTCATAAATATTTATGCAAGCACCTGACATATTTGGTGCTTGTTTAAATACTTGTAAACCAAGTATTTAAAATAGAAAAATGACCACTGAGGCAATGTAATCTTTAGAACAGAACTAAATAAAAAAGAGTTTCCTCCCCCATTTATCAGATAGGCCCTATATAGCAAGAGATGGCAGTTTCCCTCCCTAAATTCCTCCCCATATATACAGTTCAGATGAAGGGAATGAAGTGGATGTATCTGGAGGGAAAACATGGGGTCGGGTGATGGCATGGTATCTTATCTGCAAATATGATGGTCAGGAATGGGTATCCCTTCCCTGGCTTTTGGCAGTTAGTTGAACCTAGCATTCATCTCCTTGTACACCAGCATTGGAAGAGAAGACATACCAAGAAGGAATTTTCATCACTTCACCTTGAACTCACTATGAAATTCAGTGACCATCCCAGAACAAGAAAGTTTAAAGGTGAAATCAAAACACTTAATTTCCTTTTTCTTCTTCTTTAAGGAACACTTATCTCTTGGGAAAGTACCAGGCTCCTATGTGGCAGGCGGTGCGCTTTGGGCAGTGCTTAGACAAGGCACAGGAGTTTCTGCTGTGCGTTCTTCAAAAAGAAATTGAGGGGAAAGCCAACAACAAAGAAAAGCTGTCAACGTGTTGGATGGCAATGCTGAAACAGTGACCTTCAACACTACTAAAACTAGGTTCTCGTTTTGCTTCCAGATAGCACTCTCTAAGGAAAGCGTCCTGCATGGATACAAGCTTCTATGCTAAATGTTGAGGGCCACTCTGCTCCTGGTAATACAACTGTGGGCGCTCATGCTACTCTTGCACTACAAATGGGCTCCATTTAGATATGCTCAGAAAAGTGACTATGAGCTGCAAGGATGGAAGAGTTCTTTCACTGGATTAAAAAAAAATGTTGCTAAAAACCAGAACACCTTGTTCTTATAGTAACTGAAGATGTTTTGTGTCCCAAACAACACGAGGAAATCAAAATCTACAGAGCCAATGTATTTGCTAATATCACTCAACAAAAGTATATTGCACAAGGGAATGTGTCCAATGTGAACCTTTCCTATTAAACATTCCCTCTTCAGCCTATAACATGCAATAAAAATTACAGGAAGAGATAGCTTCTTGCTACAGATGACCTAGCTGTAATATTTTACATCTTGCACTCTTCAAATAACTGGCCCTTCCCCAAAAAATTCTTTTGAAGATAAGACAACAATCACAACTTGGAGTGAAGCTACATGCTATGAGATTCTCTGGATGCTGTATGTTTGCTTTACAGGGCCAGGGGCTTACTCAGCTGTCAAAATGGCAAAACCCTAATCAAGACAATCAATTTGTAGATATCTAAGACATCTCACAAACCTCACCTAATACAGAGTTTTTTTTATTCATATACAATTCTTTTTCAATCAAAAGTTATGACTCGTTTAATTTCATTCCCTTAGGGAACTGTCATTTTACCTTATTGTTAGTCTATCTCCTGATTCCATCATTTATACAGATTTCTAAGACATTTTGTCACCCTCATTTCCTAAGGGTGATATTATTATAAAGACAGAGAGATGGAAAGATAGAAAAAATAGAAATCAGGTATTATTCCACCCCACCCCTTATGGAAGACTGGGTTCACTTTCACATCAATTACCTGATTCAGATTCTCCTTACATTACACCCTGTTCTGCCCAACCTTTCTTTCCAAGGATATATATCAACATCTGGTATTCAGAATTTGCAACTAAAAAACAAGTCACCGGCAATCCCCATACAACTGTATCATTAGCTTCAGTATACGCAGCCTCTTTAAGAGAATCTGAATCTTGGGTTTTCTTAAAAAAAAACATGCAACTTCAGTGATGAAAAAGTGTCAAAAAGACATGTGGAACCCAATTCAAGGAGAATGTGTATGAAAGGGATGGTTTCTCTCTTGAGGGAACCACTTCTGCCAACATAATTGTTGAAGTGTAAAATTCTGTGATCCCTGCTGCTAACCAATGATAAAGGGGGAGGAGGAAGGAAATAGGCATATACATGTGAGGACTTAACAGGGAGAGGCCACAGTACATGGTCAGATGTTGGTGCGTAAGTTGTATGTGGGGGAGGTGAGAAGAAGATCATAGTTCAGAAGTCAAATTGATGTTTCCAAGCTGTGTAGAGGGCTTTCTGGCTCTGGAATGGTGTCCTCAGCGACACTGCTGTCCATTGCATTGTTATTTTTGTTGAGGGGTGAGAACTCGCCTGGGCTTTCCTCACTTTGCTGTTTGAGATCTTCAGCTTCCGGGTCTTCATCGGTGCCATCGAGGAATGGGGTCCGAGGCTCGTCTTCCTCCAGGATGAACTCTGGGTGAGTCATGAAGTTATGAATGGAGGTTTTGGATTCAGGTTTCTGGAGGTTTTCATACAAGGAGCTACGGAATGCATTCACCACTTTGATCTGTGCCAAAGAGGAAGATGGGATTAAAAACAAAAACAAACAATGAGGTATAAAAGTGCATAGGGGCCAAAGGGAGCCCTTATGAATTTTGAGGTGGGGGGAAAAAACACAAGTGTAACAAAAACAAGAACAGCTGCAGTATCAACAATGGTTTTTTGAACAAAACAAAACAAAAAATAAAATCGGTGTAAAAAGAGGACCTATGAATAAACAGAACAGTCACATGGGTGAGGGGTCAGGCACTACAAGAATAATGGGGCAGTCAACTATGAGGAGACTTCAGGAGCTGTAAGAAAATACATGTAACATTTTAAAGACAACAAGTTTGAAAAGCATGGAAATTCAAAGCAGAACCATTCTTAAATGTGCTCCTGCATGTTCAACAGAAGCACAGTACCTCAATGAAACAACTCGGAGTGGTGAGTTAAGACGTACAATTGCAAAGTGTGATTTAATTCCAAGGCAAAATTAGGACACAAAGTGACAGTGACAGCTTTTAATTTGCAAACCTATATAATTTGTTGATCGTGTTGCACGCAACAATGGTTGAGATTGTGTTCTGCAGCAAACTGAAGCAGATTGCCAATAATGATGAACGAACGAGTGAGCATGCAAGAGATGACAGCTGCTAAACGGGAGCCACCCAAGTTGAGTAGCTCCAAAGCTATAGTACAGCCATTGTGTCTGGAAGCTGGTTGCATTCTCAAAGAACAATTATCATTTTTGAAGTTTGTTCTACAGGTAAGCTCAACATTTGTCGCTATTCTGAGCAGGAGCTCCTAAAACCTCCTGACTTATGGGAGAAATTGCAACCCATAGCCTACTGCCTAGTTTCATGACCTTCGGCTCAACTACCCCATAGGATAGGTGGTGTTTCCCAGAGAGAACCCCCCCCCCCCCACATATCCTAGCTTAAGAGGAAGCTTCCAATTTTGGTCACAAATTACACTCTCACCTTTTACCTTACTTTCCAAGTGGAGAAAAGTGAGAAATCGGAGGCCTGAATTTCACAAGATCCATAAAGACACTAGGCCACTGTATACTTGGTGCTTGAGAAAGAAAGAAGAATGTATGCCATTGCAAAATTGTTTAGCAGAAACATGTCAAAGCTCTGCCTTCTTTGGTTATTTTGAAAACGCCCAGGAACATACTTTTGAGTATTTATGTTCCAGCCCCTTCATCAATCACAGTTTGCTCGGTCACAAATAAAATGCACACCAATTTCTATAACAGGAACACTGTAGACACTGGAGTTGAGACATCATATCATTACAGGGTGACGCATACTACTGCAGAAGTCACAATTACCCAGACAAAGCAACATAACAAACATGTAAGGGTAACGATAAAAGCTTGCTATTGACAAGCCAAATCATATATACCTTAAGTAGATAATATCAGCTTTTCATTGGGATTTCATATGCAATGTCTAATTCACAGAAACATATTCCAAGAGCAAATTAAAATCACAATGTAAGTTGGGGAAATTCTTCATCCCTGCTTTTATCCAATTATTTATAATATCAAACATATTGGCACTAGTACTCCAATGTCATTACAGAATATTATGTTAAACATGTTTCCAGTTCTCATGATAGGGTCTCCAATCACAGAAAACTTCCAAACTCGGAAGCAATAATAATAATAATAATAATAATAATAATAATAATAATAATAATAATAATAATGCATAGCATTCTTAATCATTTGTGAAAGCATAGTGAATGCATTACATATACATTAATTTCCACACAGCTCTATATAGGCCTGCATATTATGTGAAAGATCAGTGATGGGATTCCTTGCATACTACAATTTTAACATAATATCTGGAACCTTTCCAGATATTGCTGAAATACTGTATAGTGCATAGTTCCTTTACTCACTCATGTGCCACCACATAGAAGGCAGCTGTTCAAGGGAAGAGTCAAATGTTGGGATACAGGCTCCCTGCAATGCACTTTCAAAGTAGCCCTCTCCCTGGGTGTCAAATACTGTGGGAAGGTTGGCTGTGCCACACTATATACCTCCTTCTGCCAAGAAAACAGTGTATCTCCTTCTTCTGTAGCGAGAAGTAATGGAAATCTGGCTATGCTTTCTTTATCAAGAAAGGAGCCTGTTTCCTTTTTTCTGCAGAGAGAAATGGCTAAAGAAGAGCTGCATTTCTCTTCCCAGAGACAGTTCATTTCTTTCCTCTATAGAGAGATGAGACCAAAGTGTAGCTGTGTTTCTCTCCCCAGAAAAAGGTCAATTTCCTCCCCCTACAAAATGAAGCAAGCAAAGTCTAACTAAATTTCTCTTTTCAGGGAAAGAGTTCATTTCCTGCCTCTGCAGAGAGAAGTGATTGAAGCCTGCTTAAGTTTATCTCCCCAGATAAAGCTCATCTCCTTTCTTGGCAAACAGAAAACAACCAGGATGGTTGCTTCTCTCTGCTGAGAAAGGAGATGGGCTCCCATCCCAATAGATAGAAGCACAGGCAGGAAGAAGAGGAATTTATTTATTTCAAAGTTTTCTATACCGAACTTCTCAACCTCATTGAGGGACTCAGCCCGGTTTCCAACCATAAAAACACATACACTCATTAAAATATCATATATCACAATTACAGTAACAGATTTAAAATAACACTATATATAAAACTACAGTGGTCAGTCGTCGTATTAAAATCAGATCTACATCATCTTCCATCCAGAATCCTAGGGTGTTGTCTCATTCATCGAAAGCCTGACTCCACAGCCACGTCTTCACCCGTTTCCTAAATGCCAGGATAGATGGGGCGGTTCTGACCGGAGTGGGAGAGAGTTCCAGAGTCGCGGGGCCACCACCGAGAAGGCCCTGTCCCTTGTCCCCACCAGATGCACTTGCGAGGCCGGTGGGACCGAGAGCAGGGCCTCTCCAGATGATCTTAATAATCTTAATGGTTCGTAGGGGAGAATACGTTCGGAGAGGTAAACAGTGCCGGAGTCGTTTAGGGCTTTATAGGTCAACACCAACACTTTGAATTGTGCTCGGAAGCTAATTGGCAGCCAGTGGAGCTGGTGTAACAGCAGAGTGGTGTGCTCCCTGTACCCAACCCCCGTTAGTAATCTGGCTGCTGCGCGTTGGACTTGCTGCAGCTTCCGGGCAGTCTTCAGAGGCAACCCCATGTAGAGAGCGTTGCAGTAATCTAAGCGGGATGTAACCCAAGCGTGGACCACTGTGGCCAAGTCAGACTTCCCAAGGTACGGGCGCAGCTGGCGCACAAGTTTTAGTTGTGCAAAAGCTCCCCTGACCACCGCCGAAACCTGGGGCTCCAGGCTCAGCGATGAGTCCAGGAGAACTCCCAGACTGAGAACCTGTGCCTTTAGGGGGAGTGTGACCCCGTCCAGCACAGGCTGTAATCCCGTACCCTGTTCGGCCTTACGACTGACCAGGAGTACCTCTGTCTTGTCTGGATTTAGTTTCAATCTGTTGTCCCTCATCCAGTCCGTTACAGTGGCCAAGCACCGGTTCAGGACTTCAATAGCCTCCTTAGTAGCAGGTGGGAAGGAGTGATAGAGTTGGACATCATCTGCGTACAGATGACACCGCACCCCAAAACACTGGATGATCTCTGAGAAGTATACGGTTCCATGCAGCTGGGCTTCCTGCCAGATTTGACACCTTAAAGCAGTGGTTCTCAACCTGGGGTCCCCAGATGTTTTTGACCTACAACTGCCAGAAATCCCGGTAGGTTTACCAGCTGTTAGGATTTCTGGGAGTTGAAGGCAAAAACATCTGGGGACCCCAGGTTGAGAACCACTGCCTTAAAGAGTGGCCTGCATTTGGGAGCTCATTGTGGGTAGTCTGGTACCCTACTGCCTTTGTTCATGAAAGGGGCCTTCGTGTGCAACTGAAACTGGGTAAAACAAATGAGCATAATATGTGGGCATATTGTACATTATTTTGGAAGTGTCTTTCTTCTCATCTTCTCATCTTATTGATGTGGTTGTTGGATAGAACTGATGTAACAATAACAATAGGCACTACAGGCACTACAAATGATATCTTGAAAGTCACTGTTTCGACTCTGTGCAAGTAAAGCTGCTCTCATTTTAGCCAGAATTCGGTAGTAGCAACGGTATTATGCCATTCTAAAAGCTGTATTTATCTGCATTTCATAATATCCTATTGTTTCATTCCAACATACCTTGTATATATTTTCCAATGTGACGTGTTCATACTTCTGTCTACATGTGTTTAAGATATATATATATCTTAAACACATGTAGACAGAAGTATGAACACGTCACATTGGAAAATATATACAAAGTATGCTGGAATGAAACAATAAATTTGTTATATATATATATATATATATATATATATATATATATATATATATAAACACATTTATTGTATTATAGTTTGTTGACTGCAATAAAGGAGTGAGGAGTGAAACTGGAAGATGGCTGCTGCAACTTGGGTAACAACCAAAAACTGTCAAATTCTGAACCATTTATGATGGCACCTTGATGAATTGAAGCTACCACAGTCATGCAAATATTCTCTTTCATTATGACAGAGAAATTTAGCAATGATAAGAAAAATAAGAAAGAACAAGCGGCCTAAAAACAGACATGTTCCCTAATAAATCTTGTTTTGTAATGAATGGTTGCAGCAAAATGTCAGATATTGGTTCATATCTAACGTTTTGACATAGGTAATGATCTCATCTATAATCAAAAGTAAACAAATGTGTAATCCAGGGCAAATATGTAGCTCCAGAGGTATTTACTCAAGCTCTGGGTTATTGCTGGAAGAAGAAGAGAAGTATTTTCCCATTTCTTTTTGATGAAATGTAACAGGCCATACTCAACATCTGACAGACCTTATTTCCTTAAGAATCTTACTTACATTTTCACAAAATTAATTAGAAAACATTGTTTAATAGCAATGGCTGCTGTTAGTGATATGGTAATGGGTGTCCAGTATCACTACACAATCTCTCTCAGTCAAGAGCTTAATTTATGAATTCTTACTTTTCTAATCAACCAGCCTTCAAAAACACAGCATGTGGGATTGATGAGTTTTTAAACACTGTAGAACTTTCCGTCAAGTATTAAGAGAAAGTAGATACAAGTATCAGAGAAGTAGCTTGAAAGAATAGCAGAAATTAAATAGAAAACTAAGTAATCTCAAAAGGCACAAGCATAGTTTTGATGCAGTTGTTATAGAATGGAAACCACACTATGCACAGAAGCATGTTACTTTCCTCTTTGTCCTACCCAATCAACTTCAACTGCATAAAACCACTAAAAATAATTGTCATCAGTGTTTGATTTCTTGAGTGTATGTGATGCATAAAATTTGCATTTATCCACCCATTTATCAGTTTGGTGACTTACACTGACAGGAGAGTAAGTACAATAGCTGCACATAAAAATGTCAGCATTGACTAAAGCTAAAATACAGTATTAAGAAAATTCTCCTCCTTGAAATGTTGGTCAACATGAAAGGGGATTAAAATGTTTATATATCTATAATGCTGGACACCATTAAATAAATATTCTTACCTTCTTAAAAACAAACCACTGGGAAAATACATGGTTTGAGGTGCAATGGCTTTTTAAAGTCAACTTTTTCAGTTCATTAAACCTCATAGCTGACTGAAGTCTCCTTATAGGCAATGCTAGTAAGTGGGTGGTGTTAATTATGTTCACATCTACTGCCGTTTAAAGCAGGGAAATGAAGTGCCCGCATATACAAGACCCTAATCAGCTGAACTAGGGAAATTTGTACACATAGATGAACTCTACTGCTGTATTTAGCAGAGGCAAAACAGAACACTGAAGAACGGAAACCCTAGAATCAAACTAGGCCTGAAGAGCTGAATCTACATGGATGCCTGGAAGTATGGTACTTTTTTAAAAAAAAAATGCCCACTATGGTTGATCTTTAAAAAACTGTGGATTTTACTGTACAGCCTGTACATTTTAGCTAAAGGGCATTTTTGCCAAATTGGAGGTCTTGCTAGATGTCTAGATCATTCTTAGACTTCTCCTGCATTGTGACAAATGTCATGTTTACAGGTTTGAGAAACTTTCCTAGAAGTTGTAATTCTTAAAAATGCTTCAATACTCATTATTACAAGCAAAACTGCCCAGTTCAGCCTACTTGGCTGATGGAGAACATACAGAATATTGAAATGTTTTCCTTAATCTGAATCAATCAGCACATTCAGATTTCCTTTCTAAAATGTTGTGAAACAATCTGATAGGATACACATTTACTCTAAACTAATTTTCAGTTTTCAACTGGGCTAATTGCCAAATGAGTAAAAGTCTACAGGAGTGCATTCTAAAAGATTCACAAGTTCTACAAATTGAAAAATCTAATTTTCACTATATCTAGGGGAGCATGCAGCTTCAGTCAAAGTTTTCTTTAGCAAGATTTCTGTTGAAAACCTGGACTCTGGACAGACTTTTTGACATCTCTATATTAACTTGTGGCCATTAAATCTACTACTGCTCTCTTCCCCCACTTTTCCTTTAATGAAGAGCACCTAAATGCTTAATGCTCCTGTGAGGATATGGGAATCATGATTCAGTCCTGCAAGAAAGAGAAAAAATTGCAAAAGAGGAGAAGAAACAGAAAAAGAACAAGGAAGAATTTTAACACAGAGTTAAAGAAGCCAGAGCTTTTTTTAAAAAGGTTGTATGCTCACACATACATGTATGGACATATATGTTTTCCCCACAGTTCCTCCCAATTCTCAAGACAGGAACTCATGAACTAAGTTATGGGTTAAAAGAAAAAGGGAAAGAGAACAGTTTTGGTTAAGTCTGTGCGAGTGCCCTTTGATGGTTATTAGGAAGTCATGCATTGAATAGACTATCACTCACTGCCCGCAGGAGGAGATGCAGCAGCAGCAGCAGCAGAAGTGGTGGGAGTGGAATTGACGGAGGAAAGAGCTACATGGGTTGGGCTAGAAACATTTTTTACATCGTGGTGTTGGCTCACGATGGAAGGCTGTCTCCTGAGGGCTCCCTGTAAAGAGGAGGCGCCGGTCTGGAATGTGTAAACTACGTCCATCTGCAAAGAATCAGAGAGTGAGATAGCTTTGTCCCACAACCAGGAGAGGAGAAGGAAGGAGGAGAATGGAAGGGGAGGTTGGGAAGACATAGGATACAGGAACAAACAGTAAGGAACAAGAGTCAAGGCAAAAGAGGAAAACCCAGTAAACCTTGCAAACAGTTTTCAGCAGTTAATTGAAAAGTAAAGTAATTAAGTAAAGAGATTACAGTCTTTTCCCATCTTTTCTCCAATTAACTGTTCATATTTTGCAGTGTAGCCACATGCAGACACAAAACCTTTTGGACCTGTCTTTTCATTTATTGAAAAGCATCATGGGGTCAATTGATCTCAGGAAAACTACTGGAATGAAGAATTTTAAGTGCTATTTCCTCTTCTCTATTTATGTACTATCATGTTTTATCTTCTGTTGACTTCAATGTTACTATTCCTCAGTTTTTAGGAAGCAGTTCTAGAAAGATTTTTCCTCTTTGATGGTATGGAATGTAAATGCTCCTTGGCCACATTTTTATCTGTAAAGTGCAGAGAGGTCCTAATAATGTACAACAGGTAGGGTGAGATTAGATGGTGGGAATCTGATATAAAAGCATCTTGAAATCACAGTGGAGAAACTGGGCACATGTACATGCAAGTGAAAGTTTGAGTGATCTAAGTGTGCAATCTGCACTTTTATAAACTTCAGTGAGGCAAGCACTGTCTTTGATAGTATTTTCAGGCCAAAGACAGGAAGTTCTAAAAAGAATGGCATGTATCAAGCTTATATCCAAGGACTGGGTCATGAATAATATTAGATCATTCATTTCGGACATTAGGAAACAAGTAAAAAAACAAAAACAGAAAGGAGGTAGAAGTAACCACAACAGCACTTGGTCAGCTTATCCCACAGCAGAAAATGCACAGCAGCATGCAGAAGCATTACAGTTGGAGATCAGTTTCTGCCTTAATGTCTGTAATTTGTAATGGCAGACATAGGAAAGCTGTTGTGATCACTCATCTTCTTGCTTCTCTAAGCTATCAGAGAGTAATTACATTTTCCACTGGAAAGGCACCTTACAAAGAAAGGAAGGACAGAGGTTATCTTATCAAGATGGTAATAGCTGTTTTAAGATCATGCAAGGGGGGGGGGGGAGGGAAGAGACCTCTGCAGATTTTTTTTAAAGTGCCCTATATCTATTTCCCTTTTGCAGTTCTTGGACATTTGATTTCAAATTTTGAGGTTTAATACTGCACGTTAAAAAAAAACACACACACCAAGTGGTGTCATGTTTACATAGTGCTTGCTGGAGCAGACAGCATTATTGAGTCAGCGAGAATGTAAAACCTTCCATTGTGTAGTTGGTCTTTCACAAATTGGACATTGCCATCACTTCCCCTTCATACTGGTTTGAAGGGGTGTCTTATGAATCAAAGCAATTTTACAAACATCAGAGTGTATTTACCTGTACCTACCACTCTCTTCCATGTCCGGAATACAAAGAAGAGCACCACTGGCAATGAACAGTTTCCAATACAAAACCTTTGTAGCAGCTCAGATTACGAAAACAAAATACAGTCATTTCTCCAAGTGATACACATTTCTCACCATGTCTTTATGTATCCCAGAACCTAAAACAACCTGCTTCAGTGACACATCCTGGACAGTGAGTGACATGCTACAGTGGTCCTGTATGGATGATTTCTGACATCACCAGAGCTTAATAAAACCAGCTCACTAGAGTTGCCTAAAACTAAAGGCTGTCAGACGTCCTTTGGTTATCTCAGTGGACGAGTCTTTGTTTGCATGTTTTCCTTGAGATCAGTCTAAATCTATCTTTTTTTCCTTTTTAGCATGTACAATAAAGGGATTTACTCTCAAGAGAGCATAGATTACAATTTCCAGATGTAACGTACAGCTTGTGTCCAAGTGACAAACAAGTGTTTATTTAAGATTATTTCTTTGTTTTTAGAGTCTGACATAGAGGTTAACACCTAAACTAAAATGATTGCTAATTTCTCCTGATGTGTTGGAAAGAGGCATTAACCTGAGACAATAGGAATAGAAGGATTTGAAGTCCAACACATCCGCAAAACAGCAAGTTGGATAGGTTGATGTAGTTACAGCATGTTTTCAGTAGACAAAATCAAGAAAATGCATCAGCACAAGACATATTGATGGTCTTCAAAAAAAGCCCAATGCCTGTAAATAAACTAGCCTTTTTCAAAGGCTACATTAAAAGTAAACACAATGTATATATTAACTTATAGTCATTTGCAAATAAACAGCACAAAAATAAAAATAAGCTTAAAATACATAAATAAATGACATCAAGACTTTAAAAATGAATAGGAGAACATCTCTCTAATTTAAGAAATAGAAGAATGGGTGCTCTTTGCTCAGACATTTTAAAGAACTACAGTATGACCCCAAAATCTGTGGGGGATACATTCCCTACTTTGCATGGATACTCAAAACTGTGGATAATAGTGAACCATACTGAAATGAAGAGCATCTGGCCCATGAATACCATAGATTTGTACTGGACCTACAAAATGCATCGAGAGCACATATTGTGTCAGATATGGATAAATCCCTCCCAATACAGGGATTGTACTGTACAACAATTTGCACCAGATCTCAGGTTTTAGGTGCTGAAAAAGATAGTTAACAATTATTGAAAAATTCTGATGAGAGAGGAAATGGAAATAATTTTATGGCTGAAATCTTTTGACACCAGATTAAGATCCATCTCAGTGAAGATCTGGATGTCCATTAATGTAAGGCCATTCCACCCCACACATGACCCCTCCACCCAAAAAGTCCGACCAGCATGGTAACCTTTCAACTGGAGACTCCCTTATTTCTGATCATTTATTTAAATGTATGAACAATAAAAAAGAGATCATCTTAGTTTATTGCTGATTAGTCCGACTATTGGAGAGTGTGTGTATTCATAACTCCCAGAATTTCGGCTACTGATTTAATTAACAGTATGTATATAATCTAATATTAGACTGATATTTGTCAATATCATATTTTTATTTCTGTATTGACTTTTGTAAAAGATTTATTACATGTATTTGTGTTTACTTTAAATGTAGCCCCCACAGAAGACCAATGAATTTTGATACAGGTTGAAGTGTGTTGTCTTTTTTTTAAAATGAAAACCAGAACCTCAGTAAGGAATTAGTTTCTATTCATGCTCTAAAATCAAGGGGGGAAAATCAGCTTAGTATTTTTCTTTTAAAAAACCTGAGAGGATGCAAAGCAAAACCAATGAAGGTGGGTAATAGCAAATGCATGCTCTACAGTTTTAAAAAGCAATCAAGTGATGAATATGTGTGTGTGTGTGTGTGTGTGTGTGCATGCGCGGGTGAATGATGTGGCCTTGTATCAATCTTGTATGCTGGGAAGACTGACATCACAATGTATACTCTCTTCTATGAGGTCAGTTTGAAATGACTTAATGATTCTAATTTCTACTTCTTCAAAAGTAAAAAACTTTTGCTCAGGTTTCATACCATAAGGGGAACTACACTGTCCAAGAAAATAATAACAGTGGTAATGATAATACAAGGTGCCATCAGTTGCTAAAGCAGTCTCAGTGATAAAATGTAATCATTGATCTCAGATAAGAATTAAAGCTTAGGACTAAGTTACTGGAAAGGTGACCTGTGTCTCGATATATCTGGCTGGGTCATAAATTGGCAACAGAGAGATCATTTGCCTGCCAGTAACATCTATTAGGTTGGTAGTCACAAGAGATAGGGTACATATCCTATAATGGGAATTATGCCTACCTTGTTATCTGTCTGTTTTTAAATAGGTTTTAAAGACCAGGATGTTCCCGTCAGCTTTCAAATTAACGGATGATTTTATAATAAATTGGATTTCCCCATTCTCCGAAGCAAGCAGCTTTTTGTTTTTACTATATCTCATTGTCTGGCAGGCATTATAAGCTCAGCTTCAGGAATGGAACATCGAATCTCAGAAGCACTGTGTAATGTCCCTTTGGCTTGTTCTCTTTTGAATTCCACTTGTATAGCCCTCAATAAGAGAATGTCACAAAAGTGAAGAACAAGTCCTTCCCTTGTCCCACTAAGCTTCCTTTTACTTTTCTAAAAGAACCAAGCTACAATCCAAACAGCCAGGAAGGTTTGTGATTGTACAGATGAATGGTTCACAACTAGGCTGTTCTTTTTCCAGTTATTCTGTTGCTGTTCTCATCGTAGGCAATTTCAGGTCAGACAACACTACAAACCTGATATTTAGGAAGTTGACTGGCATTTCAGGGTAAGCACAAAAACTATTGAAAGTGTGCCAAGTTGGCATTTGCCAAAATTCATTTTATTATCTTTGAAGCAAAAGTTGATGTAAGTAGGAAAACTAGGATTTGATAATGAGATTCATATCCATCAGCATACATAATCGACCCTAGTACCCACACACCTCTGTAAGAAATGATTCGTGTTAACATTGCCTTCATCTGGATTATTCAAGATTAAGCCTTTCCTGAGCAAACAGAATTTATTCAAACCATTTGAAATCTTTGTTAGCAGGCATACCTGTGTGTTGGTTCTTCCATAAGAAATAAATAAGTTTTGGGAGACTACTTCCCTTTGACCATAACATAAACTGCCCAATAGTTTCCCTTGATCCCTAGCAGCTTGTTCTTCCCCTTTGCAATGTCCTCCACAAGGAATAGTATAATCCAGTTTCAATGTTAAAGGCTGTGATAATAGGGGCAAAGATCTACATAGAAATTTTGTGCCAGAGCAAATGGATTTTCTCTTCCTAGAGTTTCCTTTGGCTCCAAATGACCTGGAGGCAAACCAAGTGAATCTTAAGAAATTCTGCAGATTGGAAAATAGAGCTCAAATATTTTTTGGAAACCAGGCATAATTTGGAAGATGCAAGGAGAGAAATTTGACATGAAATGGTATCCCTCCCCATCTTTTACTGTTCATAAGGAGTGAGGGGGTTCAATTAAGAAACAATCAGGGATGCTTACAGAAATTCATCAGCTGCCTGCATCTGTCCAGCTGCACCTGCACAAAGGCTACTGGGTCAAGCTATGTGACCCCCCAGACCCTCTGGCAGCATGAATATTATATTCCTCTTCAGGGCAAGCAGCTCTGACCCCCATTAGAATGGGATCCCATTCAGCCAACAGATAAACTGTTAATAGCAATTCATGCCCCATAGGAGAGAAGGAATGAGCACTTTACCTGAGTCTGTATTCTGTTGAGGCCTCGGAACCACAGAATCTGTCCCCGTCGAAGTTCCATTTCAGCATGGTCAATTTCATCTAGACCCTCAGGCAACTCTTCATCTGCCATATCCTCCTTGGTAATGCCATGTCCTGCCTCCTTCAGGAATTTCAGTTGACTGGTTGGAACAGTGCAGATCAACTATAAAGAAATGAGAAACCCAAGATTAGTTCCTCTTTGCTATGGGGTTTGTGTGATCTTGCTTCTCCGTTTCCTTGTATGTCACGCCATTACCATAATCCCAAACAGTCCTTCCGTACATTTAGACCATGTCATCCTAACTGTGCACTATACATCATGATGATGATCTCTGTTTACCCATTTACTGAATTCTTTTATATTCTGTCTCTTACCAGGCTCTCAAATGTCAGAACATATTTTATTTAATTAAAAAAATCAATATGACTACAATTTATATCACATACATGATGCATGATTTATATGTTTTTCCCCAGTGGGAATTCATTTTACATATTTAAAACCACAGTTGAAATTAGTGGTAAGGAAGAATATTTTTAATCATTAGTTTTCAAGGCAGTTCATTATTGTGCAATGTATTTAGAAATTGAGGCATACATTGTGTAACTATTCCAACCTGTTTTTCTAATTTGTTTTCTATATATCAAAAAAGTGGGATCCCTGGTATTCATACAGACGTCCCATCCTCATTCAGATCCACCCTATCTCCCTAAATTCTCTATTCACTGATTTCTTCTATCTTAAAGAGAGGCAAATCTGTCTGTGTGAGTGTGCACACAAAAGATTGTGCACTGATTTGTGTACATCACCTATGGAAATGTTACCTTTCAACGCCATAGACTCTTGTTAGCCTATTCACACACTATGTACAGTGAGAAGTTGTAGTATTCATGATGATATATTTGCCCTAAACACTTTTTTTATTCATTGCTTATATCACATGTGCATCTATGTCTATAATAAGTTATATTTTCAAAAGAAGGGAGAAAAGAAAGACTGGGAAATATAACAATTATGGCTGTCTGACAGAATGAAGTGGTAAAAATGTGACATGTCTGAAAGGAAAAAAGAATGAAATAGAATTATCTTTTTCCTTTTTATACAGTAGCATGCAATTCCACGGGATTAGAGATCACAATGGGGTTAATGCATTTTCAATGCTGTTTAGTTATTCCATTGAAAGACAGATTCTCAAAGCTTCTGTTTGTAAAGTATTTTTAAATGAACCATTAACTTGTAAAAACATTGCATTGCAATTTTCAGTTCAAAAAATACCAAAATGCATATGGATATATTTGCATTTATGAAGAAGTGCATTCAAATACTGTGGTGTGTGTATGTTTTAAAATATTTCAGATTAATTGATAAATGAGACAAAATTACTTATGAATGAGCACATGCCATACTACAGGTCATGCTGGATTCCCATGCTTACTCAGTTAAATAAGCTAACAGCACAAAACTGGCTAACTTCTGTTATAAAGCCCAAGTTTTAACTATCCTAGTTAAACTCATCTTCTTGGAAGTAAGTAGGTGTATTCATTCAGGTTTTTAATAGTGATACTCTTGATGATATATAGCAGAAACAACTTCCTCTTATACCTGTTATAACTTCCTGTGTATGCTTTAGAGTCATTGTGCCAGGAGATATCAAACCTCTTTGCAAAGAATCCCCCCTCCCCCCAATATAACTGGCCCTTTTCATGCCAGACCATACATCCATAGGCAACTAATAGCAGTTGTCAGACATGGTTCTGTAGCAGGGAGAATGGATAAAGTCATCCTCTGAACTCTTCAGTGTGCACATATTTTCTTGTCAGAAATCTGGAAGGATGAAGATTTAAGTCTTTTCCCAGTTGCAAGTGCTTACCTGCCCCCAAAGAAGCTCTCCAACACCAATGAAAATACACCAGAACCACTGACTCAAGGTGAGCCCAGAGCAGCTGAATGGTTTTCCACCAAATTCCACAATGATGATCTATAATGTAAGAAAATAAAGAGAAAAAGCACATTCAGGGAAAAGCATTGTCAGGAAGGCATCAGTAAAACTACAGTTAAAGAAAGAATAATTACTAGGGTGAATGAGTTAAAAAACAAAAGAAAGATGTTACTGCAATTTCAACAGTGGTATGAAAAAGCAAAATTCAGTAGGTGTGTGACTTTTCATACAATCATTCCTTCTGAAACATGGACCCTGAACAAATTCCTCAAGCCAGTCTTCTCCAGACTGGTGCCCTCCAGATGGGATTGAATCCAACTCCCATCATCCAAAGCCATACAGGCATCATTATGTAGAGAGATCAGTCCATGGAAAGGCAGACTAGCTCAACGAATTATCCAAGGCAATAACTAGTTAGCTACATTTGTGCAGAGCCTGCATTAGTCAAGGCATGGCATACACTGGATATACTGTATTTACTCAAATCTAATGCTCATCTTTTCTGGGTAAATCACCTTGCCAAAATTAGGGTGTGCATTAGAGTCGCATAATACAATCATCTTATTCCTGAGTCAAAGCAATAAGGTAAGCTGCTTCAGGAGCACCTGGAGCTCTTATTTGAGAGGTCTTGTCTACTATTTAATTGTCATATATCAATGCTATGCCACGCTGGGATTTGTAATTTGGTGAGGCATCCACACTCTTCAACAGAGCAGGCTCAAAGCCTTGTAAAACTACACCTCTGCCATGACCCCATAGCATTGAACCAAGGTAGTTAAAGTGAATTCATTCTACGGCATAGACACACCCCAAGGTTTTCTTTTCAATTGCTGGAAGCTTTGGTGCTCTAACACTTTTGTTTTTAAAGAAAGAATTCTAAGCAAGTAGCAACTTAATTGCCATATTACTAAGAATGCATCTTTTGCTGCTGCAAATTACATTGGTCAGCAATTTTTTTTCTTTTGGTTTCAGGGTTTTGAAAATTGAGATGTGCATTAGATTCAATGGCACATTAGACTCAAGTAAATATGGTGTCTCTGTGTGCACACACACTCACATATTTAAAAACATATATCAGTCTTGAATCATGTAAACAATACCTACTAATGTTATGAAATTAAAAAAAGAAGCTTTGCCAATTTGGTGACTCTTCTCAACTAGTGTTCAATATCAAGAAAGTCTCTTTATTTCAAAAAAAGAAAAAGAAAGAAAAAGAAATCTCTGTCTATAGTTGGCGATCCTAGGAATCTCGGGGCAGAAAATTGGCCTCGGCACCCTCTGTGGTTGCCCACACATGTTCTCACTGACTTTTACAGGCCTCTGAACTCAATATACTACCAAAACTTTCTTTTCTGTGTCTTGTATTTCTGGTTCTTAGAGCATGCCCTACTTGGAAGAAAAATGGGCACAAAGATCCTTTAAAACCACATCACATTGGAAACTCTGCATGACCATTTTCTTTTCTGTCAGATCTATATTTGGTATAAAGTTCAGGAGCTCCTTGGGTTCTTGGTTTTGATTCTAATTTCATCACAAAAGGATTCTGTTTTCACAGGAGATAAATGCTAATCATTTTTTTAAAAGATCAAGAGGAGAGCATTAATATTGCTAATATTACCACATCTGTTTTCTACTTGAGACTGGTTTTACCATATTTCCAGTATTAAAATGAAGGGGGGGATCTTTTCCTTGTTAGAGTATAAACCTGTGTCTAAAACATCAGACCTTTCGTCTTTTACTTGGTTTTTATAAGGACAGTCTCCAAAAGTTGGCCAAGGAATAGTAGATCAGATGAAATGACAGTGGTCAGGCTTGCCTTTTATTGGACATCTCTCCACAACTCCAGTGAAGACATGGAATTTAGTTTCATGCTTGAAGGAGCTTATAAAATTACTCATAGAAAAGCTTTACTATATCCTCAGTTTTCTTACTGAGACAATTCTACTCCAATCCTCAGGTGAATGCTGACCAATTATAATAGAGACAGAATTGAAGCTAAGAAGAGCCACAAAATGTAGGGCAACTTCTGCTCTTTGGTTACTTTGGTTTTCAGGGAATCTCAAAAAGCATGAAGGCAATACTTCTCTTAGACATAAGAGCTGCAACTGGGATGTAGCTATCTTAAAGGTAGCTCAGTGTCATACTTGAACATCTGGTCAGTGGTAAGATTTACCACAAAAATAATGAAGAGATTTTAGTTGAGGTGATTTGGCTAATTCCTTGCAAATAATGTCACTGAATCCTGATAGAAATAGAACTGCTGCAGCAGAAAGCAGAGCTTCAGGAAAAGATGAAGTAATAGCAGATGGCTTGGTTGTCTTAGCTACTGCAGTGAGCTGGTTTTCATCTGGGAAGGACAGATGGAGAGAGTCCATACTATTTGCCAGTAGGAGAAGTGTCATGGGGAAAGAATCTGTCCTCAGCTATTTTTTCCTCTACTCAATCATCCTGAGAGAGCACATCACCCTTCCTCCCAGAGTTTTCTATGTAAAAGAAACTTCAGAGTTGAGGGTGACTCCCCGACAACAGATTGGTGTACCCACCTACCACGTATCTGAGTTTCTTCTTGAAGTAACCTGGAGATAAACAGATCTGTTCCTTTGTAAGTGAAGATTTATGGGCCTGGAAAAGTAAGTTCTTTTATGGAAGGAATTATGTTTCCTTCTTTCAGTCCTGCACAGAGATTAATAGAAAAGCTTGGGACAAGACCAGCAAGCCTCTTAGTTCTTCAGGACCAATGCATGAATCTTGGAAATGAGAAGGAGCCATTACAGTGGGTTGTATGAATGCAGAAATAACTGCCTGAACAGTAACTGTCCTATTTCATCGTGTCTCTGTATGTTACACACATAGGTGAATACATGTTCAACTGGAGGAAGGCATGTGCCTCACAGTTGATTCTGACAATAACATCACTATGCCAAATTAAGCACTAGTTTAAGTTCATGTCGAGTTTATAATGTTACCCAAAGGTTAATATCTTGAATAATATTGCTGCTTAATAGATGATGGGGATAAGAATGCTTCTATCTACAGCTCTAGTAGCATGAGGTTGCAGTGAGTCAGGAGAAGGTACTTTTATTAAGTGATATAAATGATTAGACTGTGCAATCCTTGTAAAAACACATTGCAGGACAAATTAAGAAACCCAGGAGGTTCTTGGTATGAAACAAAAAAGTGCACTGATTTACGAAATGATTCTGTCTGATTTTTATAAATGGCCAAGGACCTTCTGAGATCCAAAAGATAAAGTGATTTTTCTGCTGGAAATAGGAATGTGTGCGTGGGGGCGGGGAGGGGGGGGGGAGAGGAGAGGACAAACTATATATTGCTTCATTTTAAAAATTGGAATATTCAAGATAGGACCAAAACCCTCTTATCTCGGGACATCTTTGCCCTTATGAAATGTTCCATCTACAGAACACAACACTTACTGGCACGTCTTGCTGAATCAACAGCTACAAGAAGGAAAGGCTTTTTAGAACCACATGTAAAAAGGAGAGTCATGTCTCGCAATGTGTTAAAAATGTTTTCAAAACAGTCCGATGTAATTCAGGGAAAAAAATCTGTGTGTCCCTCATTAATGCAGCAAAAAAGTTTTTATTGAACACCAATCCTGGAATACCTGTCCTTTATAACACGTTTATATTAGATTAAGTGGATGAAACACAGGCAAGTCAAGTTATGATTTACTGATAATAAGCATAGAGACTATTTTTGATGGATGGGCTAGAGAAGACCAAAGCTGTTGTCTATGTGGTAGTTCAAATTAGAGTCAAAAGGACAAGACCACTAAACTTTCTGACTTCAGACATAACAGAAATTTTAATATTGTCCTGAGAGAGGAGAATGAGAAACCAGAGCCCTCAAATAAGACACCACTTACAAAATGGGACCAAGTAGTGACATAAAAACTCCATGTTGAGCAGTGCAGGTCTCCACATGATGAGGCAGAACAATTCCAAGATTTCAGTTGGAACTGAATTACCTCAATTTCCATGGTGAGATGGCTTACATGGCATTCAAAGAAGAACTGCATTGTAAGAAAGGAGGGTTTTCTCCTAGATTGCTCAGGCTTAAAACAAGAATTCTAAAACAAGATTTTTTAATGTGACTTTGCACACGTATATCACCAATATGTCTGATGCACGAAGAGCATGATGAACCTTAATATCCAAGCATATATTCCTGCTATGATATACTCTTGTGAAATAGGTATTGTTGTCATCTTGTGAGAATTGATGGTATTCAGTTAACGCCACAGTACAATAACGGTGTCTAACAAGAAAGTTTGGTAGATTTCCCCCTCTTTCATTGTCTCTCCTCTTATTCAGGTTTGATCATGCCTTTCATAGCTTCTGCCCCTGTCCCTTTCATCCATTTCATTTACCTGAGAAACAAAGGTTCCTAGCACCACTGTGCAGAAGATGGGGTTCCGGAAAATGGCCTCAAATACATTCCTCTCACCATGGATTTTGCGAGCATTGATCTCGTTGAAAAGCTGCATCATGACAAAAGTGTTGAAGACAATGGTGTAGTGCTCAGTCGGTGGGGAGTGAAGTGGAGTATTCCGGCCACTGTCGATATCAAAGAACTTCTCACCTATAAAAAAGAAGAAAAATAAAAAAACTTTTCTTCCATCTGCAAATAGCAGCATTTATGATGTGATTATATAATACTATATAGAACACAATTCCTGAAGATAGCAAAAGTATCTTGCATTCCATACTTCGGCTCATGCACTGTGTTTTTATAGAGCTATGCAAACAGGCAAAAAATCCATAGAGACACAGCATCTCCAAGTAACATCTTGGGGAAGAGTTGGTGTCTTATTGCTATTTTTTACATGGGTGAAGTTGTGTCTCTGTGGAATCTCTGCCTTTTATTTAGAAGTTTAAAGGTCCACACAGGAAAAAGAAATGCAGTGATCCCGAGGTTGTCTCTGTCACTCTCTTGCCCACTGCTCAGTTGGAGAGGAAAAGCTCAGTTTAAATAAGTACAATCTGGCTTCCAATGGAAAAAATGTTTGGTTGAAACTAATAATGGTTCCTCCCTTTAAACAATGTGTGGTTCAAAAGTGAAGCCAAAGTAAGTTGTACAAGAATTTTAAAGACACACTGAATTAACTGGGATGCTTCAGGACCACACCATCCATGTGGTCTCTTCCAACTCTATGATTCCATGATTCCATATTCAACAAGATATGCAGTTGAAATATTTGTTCTTGAGGTTATTTTCAGGACAAATTCTACAAATATCCTAGATTCCAATACATGTATAGTAACACGTACTTTTTAACTTTTTTAATTCAATGATTCAATGCCCTCTTATACAGTGAGTGTACTTTTAGAGATATTCAGCTGACTGGAATGACATTACTTTGCTGATTCCAAAGAAACTAAAGGTACACATTTTACTCACCTGTTCCTAACATTCTCTATTACTAAAGACAAGACAACTGTGAAGATGTTAGAATCTCATTTTACTAAAGGTTCTGGCAAAGAAAACTTGGTTGATTATCTGCCCATATGCTTCATTACTCAACTAGCAGCTGCCAAGGAGATATTAATGAATTTTTAAAAATTTCTTTCAATTACATTTCTAAGTTAATATATGCTCAATTTTTGTATTTCTGTTTCAGTGCTGTGAATTTCTCTTTTAATTTTTGTAAGCTGCCTTGAGTCCCAGAGCTGGGGAAAAGGTAGGATGTACATAAGATCATGCTACTGCTGCTGATGAGTAAACTAATGGATGATTACTTCCTTGGAAGCCTGCATTTGATGGGAGTAGAAAGTTACAAATACTTCAACAAATAAGTAAATTAAAGTACAGTAAACAGCAGGAAAGAAAGGACTTGGAACCTAGACTTCCAAGTTACTTTTTTTTTTTGCTTCTATCCATTTTCTGCTAAAGGCAACACTTCCCTTCCTATGACACTTACCTGCAAAAAGTAGTGTAAAGATAATGGTGAGTTGGTAGACTGCATGCCCCAGGATGTTCTTCATCATGGTGCGGGAAATGAGAGGCTTGTTACGGCCATATGGCTTGCGCAGGAGCAAGGACTCCGATGGGGGTTCTGTGGCAAGGGCTAATGAGGCAAAGGTATCCATGATCAAGTTGACCCATAGCATCTGGACAGCCTTCAGAGGGGAGTCCTGCAAAGACAGAAGAATGCTTAGAATAGATTATGCCTTGTGTCCACTCCACATGCCCCCTTTAATAGACTTCAGAGGCTTTTCTTCCTTGGCAATTCAGCCCCCTCAAAAACTCGTTCATCTCTTAATCTACAGGGTACTGGAAGACTCTGAATTTTAAAAAAGATGGAAGATTCAAGGGGTTGGAAGTAGATAAAATCTGTACTTTCTTTACTTCAGCCTACTCCTATTTCATAGCTTCCTTAATGTGGAACTGATAGGTACTAAGTTCAAGGACAATAAGGGCTGTTAAAATAATACAGGGATGGTCACTATAAAGTCAAATATTAAGCTAATACTGCTAACTACTAAATATTTAGACTCAGTGGGTTGTTCAGCTAAAGATCACGTCTCCCAAATATCTTTTCTGCAAGTAGAAGGCTCCAGTTCTAAATCATTTTCAGAATCCCAATTTGCATTTAATCAAAATAACATTTCCCAAGTCATGTATTTATTAGCATTATCATAATGTAGAAAGAGGGTAGTCACTGCAGACCACTGGCCAAAACAAAATAATGATCTAGTGCTTCCATCATAAATATCATTTGACGATTGGTTACCGGAGGCTGAGGACAAAAATGGGACCTCAATTTTGATAAGTTATGGTTGTTACTTGGGAGGGAAGGGGGTGGAGAAAGCATAGCCCATGGGGACTGTGGGAAACATTAATGAATACTGGTTTTGTTCAGTGCCTTCACATTCTTTCAAGACATGTGGAGCAATTTTAAAGCAAAATAAGAACAATAACTTGAGCAATGAAAAATATTTTAAATAATGTAACAATAATTTTGAAAAGGGGTATGTTTAATATAGCAGAGATGATGTGGCCTTTGAATTTCAGTGGGAGCTTTATTTAGCCCTGGAAGCTGAATAGTTGTCCACTCCAGTGCTCAAGGCATCCAGATGTTGACAGCTGAAGCAATAGATTAGATGAACCCAGCCCAGCAATGAAATCATCTTTTAATCTAGTAAAATCCATTTAAGAATTTTTATATCACAATTTTGATGTTCTTAGACTAAGGCCCTAAACTTGCTAAACCCACAATGTCTTCATAGCATGAAATCAAATTGAGAAAATTGCTTTTAAAACAGCCTCATGACTCTTAGCACTGACCCACAGAGAAAATCCCCTTCTCTTCAGTTGATGTTACCTGTGTGATACAAGCACCCGTGAAAGCCACAATCACAGCTACTACATTGACCGTGAGTTGGAACTGCAGGAATTTGGAGATGCTGTCATATACATTGCGACCCCACATCACTGCCTTGACGATGCTTGTAAAATTGTCATCTGTCAGGATGATGTCTGAGGCCTCTTTAGCCACATCTGTGCCAGCAATGCCCTGAGTTAGAGGAAAAGGAGGAAGAAAAAGTCACAAAGGTGTCATATGGCGGCTGATTTTAATGTTGTTTTGGTTGGTTTTCTACAGAGATAAGATGCAACTCAAACAGCAACCATTCTTTTTCTGTATGAGACAACAACACTGCAGAATGAATAATTCAGATGATCTCATACATTTTCTGGTATGGCAGAAGGTCCAACTGACTGAACAAAATGATAATTTGAGAAATAACACATTCAATTGATGTAAACGATTTCATTATTTTCATTTCTTGCATCTTCTAAATCCAAATTGTATTACACAAAAGTTAGCCAGTAATTCTCTGCTCTTCTTCCTTAGTGAAGAACCATGACAGCAGATGCAATTAGGCTTATTGCAAACCCCAGTTATCGACACATGGTGGCAGTCAATGACTACAGAATCTGCCATTGCCAGAACAATCTCAGCAAGCTTCAGAAGAATTAAGCAGGTACCCTGTGGTGACCAATTTTCCCTAATGCTCGCCTGCTGTGTCCTAGTGAGCTCAGGGATTGTGAGATTCTGTCCTGAGCTGTAATATTTCTGACTTCTGCAAAGTGCAAAAAAAATGAAACAGAAAATAGAGCAGAATAAAAATAGAGCTTAAACACTGAACGCACACCCACTCATCTACCCTCTTTTCTCCAGTAGCTTAAGCCAATGGCTAATGGCTCTAGGAAGTCAAGACACAGAAAGACAAATCCTTATGCCCACACACTTCTTTTGAGATGGTGGGGTTAGCACAGCCCTGTAAACTATAAATCCATACATACCATAGCAAATCCAACATCTGCTTTCTTCAAGGCTGGGCCATCATTAGTGCCATCTCCGGTCACGGCCACCACCTGCCTTTGTTCAGCAATGGTACTGTCAATAATTCCTGAAAAATCAGCTAAGTATCAGCAGAGCAAAAGCACACATATCTGTCAAGCAGCAAAGAATCTAGAAGGCAGCAGGTCCATTTCTGGATGTAATTCAAGTAACGACATCTTAAAAATCCAAAAGAACTCAGGACATTGATACTTTTATGTCTGTCTCTCTGCCCATCTATGAAAATAATTTGTGAAACCCTTCTGTACATTACCTTATTAGATACAGCTGACAGTGATGTGCAAAGAGACCATTTCTGTTGTGATGGTCAGACTATACAACTCCTGGCAACCTCAGAAAATTTGTTGTTTCCTTTTGGCATTGCTGCATTGAACTGTGACTTAATATTTTGCCAAGGTTTTGATCCGTCAGTGCTGTTTCTCCAAATTTGTGTTCCGTTTTCATTATTAATTTAGACTGCTTATCATTTAAAATGGTAAGCTGCCCCTGGTATTTCTGTCTGAAATTTGGGAAGACGTAATAGATATGTCTAAAACAAATATGTTATGCCAATGGCTTTGGCTGTGCAAACAGCAAGCCTTCCCCTTTACTAAGGAAGTCTGTCAGTTCCTAATGGACATTCTGTTTTCACTTATTTCTCCCACTTTTACTTCCTTAGGGACATTTTCCTGGAAGCCTACTTCCCTTCATTCCATTGACCATACCTTTCACAAGTGTGTGTTTATCTGTAGGTGAAGAACGTGCCAAGACCCGTAGCTTGGGCCAGATCTTATCCAGCTGCTCTTGTTCCACCTGCAGGACAAAACCACAAGAAAACAAATTAGGTTGACCCTATTCCAGAACTTCAGAACCTCCACCTCTCCAAAGAGAAGGATCAAAAGGCTCTGAGAACCAACCCACAAGTGAAGGCTCTTTACCTAAGAAGAGTTCAATTGAATGTAATGACTTAAAAGGGGTGGCAACAACATTTTCTCACAGGGATAAATTATTCCTTTATTAATACATTTGAATTTGCAGCCTGCCTTTCTCCTTGAAGAGAATCCAACAGTTCTACAGATCTCACAGCATCAGAAGACCACTGAGTGAACAAGCCAGTTTAGTGTGACAAATACATCTCACCATTAATAACCAGTTAGTGACATTACCCTACATCTACATTAGGAGGCTAAAAGTAAATATATCATGTGTTGAAAGACGCTATGAGCTAAAGAAGTCCTTCTCTAACTGCCTTCTAGTTTTGAGTATTTTTAAAACTGGAAAATCTCTTCTATAGCTGACAAAACTGCCTAAAAAGCTCCTGAAACAGCATAAATACAAGGAGTTGTTAGTTATTTCTACATATATCACCAGCACCTAAACTGGCCTCAATCATCTCACCTCTCCTTTCTCATTGCGGATGAGCCGATTGAATTCCTTTCCTTCCAAACATAAGAAGTCCTCCCCAGGCAGCAAAATCCCACACTTGGTTGCAATGGCGCGTGCTGTGTTGATGTTGTCACCTGTCACCATCCGAACAGTAATACCAGCACGTTGGCACTTGAGAATGGCATCAGGCACCTATTGGAGAGTAATGAGATAGGAGAGTCAGAAAGTGAGGAAACATGAGTATGAGACCACAGAAATAATGCAAAAGTTTGAAAGAAGAGGAGGTAAGAAAAACCAACCACTATCCAATATACTAATAGCAAATTCATTCTTGGAGCATAGATCTTTATAGAATTAAGATAATACTGTCTGTGCACAAAAGAAATGTAGGAATTAATGTGATTAAAGTCCCTTTTGCAGAAGTAACAAAATAGTTAGGTTTTTTAAAATGAGGGCATCCCCACTGAAAAAGGTACTATAGGGACATCGAATGCTCACTGGCCATGGGATACTGGGGTTGACTGGAAGTAACTTATAAGACCACCATAACAAACAGAAGGAGTTGCCTTCAGGTTACCTGTTAATTTATGGTGACCCCATGAATTTCATCGTTTTCTCTAAGACATTATTACTCAGAAATGCTTTGCCATTGTATTCCTCTGAATATAACATGTAGCATTTGGTATTTCTTGATGTTTCTCTTTCCACCTACCAACCAAGCATGATCTTACTTAGGTTCTTGCTTAGGTTCAGCAACAGAACACATTTGATCAATATCTCATGCCTGCCTGGCCCGGCGGTACCTGTCCTCCAACATTCTCTGGAGGGCCACACTGTTTAAATTGCTGGAAAATTTAAATAAATAAAAAAGACTATATTCTATTTCATTTATAAATGAATGCAAATGTCTAGAAGCAAATCCCTGCTCCTATGTAGGTTCTGATAAACCTATAAATAGCTTACCCTTGTGTGATGATGACACACATGGGGTTTCATTGCATGTACATGCAAGATAATACATATGTTGGGAGATGGAGCCAACTGTAGCTTTTGAGCACATGGAAAGTCTTTGTAGCCAGGCAACTAGTTAGTACTGAGAATTTTCCAGCATCATTCTAAAGAAAATATAACCTTGATGCCTCCCATAAATGATGCAGTGAAGCTAGGGAATCTCTGGTGCCAAGATGTGGGGTGAGCAAAGCTGATGATGGTTCTTTTTTTAACCACTCTCCTGCTAGTGGGTAGTCACAGTTTTTCACCTTGGTCTGTATCAGTTTTGCTACACTGGCATAACACAGCTTTAATAGGTTGATCTTGTAGAGAACAAGCCTGTGTAGTGAGGGAGACTTTATGAAGAAGTCAGCAAACTAAATTACAGCCTCCAGAGCAAGTGCTTGCAGGGCATCTGTGAAGCCATTCCCAAGTCCAGACATTCTGACATCTAATTAAGGAAAGATGCATGCCGGGGATGGGGTGCAGTTCTGAAATGTAATAATGAGATAGGCATGGGCTTTTTATTGCATTAGACCAGTTGTCTGTTTGTCACCCTTTTAGGAAACATTGAGAGAGAAAAATGTGAAAGTGGGATGAGCAGGTGATAGTTGAATGGGAATAAAAGTGTTCCTTCTTTCAGTAGCCTGCATTATTTGTCAGGATCTCCACTGATGCTTTTTAGTACAGAATATATGAATTGAGGTTTCCACATCCAGAGCAAATCAGTAGCAGTAGCAAGCTAACATACTACTATACTACTTTCTGCTTGCTATTTTTCTTTCATGTCAGGAGAGACTAGAGAAACTGCAAGTCACTTCTGGTGTGAGAGAATTGGCTGTCTGGAAGGACGTTGCCCAGGGGACACCTGGATGTTTGTTTTACCATCCTTGTGGGAGGCTTCCCTCATGTCCCTGTATGGGGAGCTGGAGCTGACTCTCTCCGTTAGAAGTCCTGCTGGCACAAGGTTGTGCCACCGGGGGCTCCTTGCTTGCTACTGCAAATCCATGAGATAAATTCCGGAAAATAAAAATTGTATATCTTGACCACTACCAAGGTAAGAAAAAAGATAGTCGGACCAGTCCAGAATAGAGGTGCTGATCTTTCAGGGGGTCTCTCTCACAGTAGCAACTTTATTAATAATATAGCTGCAATGAGTGTGTGCTGACTGAGAGTGCAGTTACTCTAACCTCTTGTAGAGAAACATAGCAGTATTGTCTGCAATGATGATGCTCAGAACATTTATGGGAGTTATGTATTCACTAGACACAAGGCAAGGGCTAAGGGAAACAAAAATAGTAAGTTAGGTCTGAATATCAGGAGGTGAGGCTGATTTCTAACAAAGAAACTCAAAGGAGTACAGAAAAAAGAAAAGTCACGACAATGAAAGAAGGCAACAAGAAGATGGTCAGACAAGGTCAGAATAAAGGAACCCAATCTTATACAATCACAACTGATAATCCAAATAGGTGGGGACAAATAACTGAAATAAAAGATGAAAAATGGGAAGGGAGAATCAAAAAGGAGAGAGGTATCAACTAGCTGTCAATGGGAACATGCTTTGGAATAGGCCGATTCACAGGTGGATGAGAGCTGGGGATGAAAAAGATTGCCAGGGAAAAGAACTTGCATGAACAAAATGGGATTTAACATGGTGGGGGAAATAATATGGTTTACAAAAGAGTATAAAGGCTGGAAGTAAATGCTAGGCATGCACCAAAAATAGAGTAATCTTGTTACCTCTGGCCGAACAGGGTCTTCAATGCCAACTACACAGATGCAGGAAAGGTCAGACAGAATCTCATTTTCAGCATCCCAATCAGGCTCAACTCCAGCAGGGAAATCCCGATAGGCCAGACAAATGGTGCGTAGCCCATGACAAGCCATTGGCTCAATCACTTTTTTCACCATTTCATCTCGATCCTTCACTTTAAAGATTCGAGGTTCCCCATTCTTGTCCAAGATCTTTGTGCATCTGCATCAATGCAAACAAAAGGAATGAGCAGGAGCATCAATGGCTGTGTTTCCCCAAAGCAAAGGAAAAGAGCTTTAGTACTTGTATATAGTTAACCACATAGGTATGTTTCACCCTTTGTATTTACACACACATTATCTAATAAATATATGTACCTACATTTTCCTCAGAAGGAGGAGTGCATTTAGCGATTTCATGCAAAATGTTGCAGGGATCTTTCCCACTATAGCGACGTGTTCAACACACTTGTAAAACTAGCTTTTTCAGAATATATCACACTGGCATTATTAAATTAGGAGAATCATGTTCCAGAAGCTTTTGGAAAGTATGATTCTCTTTTTTAAAAAAAGGTTTCAGTATGTCTTGGTTTGTCAACACATATAATGTCTGTTGTGCATTTATTCCAGCTTGGTATTTTTCTACAGTGGGACCATGGACTGGGGTGGAGGGGAATGGCCCCTGAAATGTGCCCACTCTTGCACTATACTGATTTCTTTTTCCTTCTCTGCAGTAGAGAAAGACATTTTTAATTGAAGCTATATTATTTATTTATTTATTATTATTTATTTCTTGCACTTATTGACCGCCACTCTCAGCCCTAGGGGCGACTCGTGGCGGTGAACAGCAACATAGAAAGACAGCATACAAATCATAACAGTACATAACAAACTACTACTACGACATATACTTATACTAAAAATCCGCTTCGTCTAATCCTGGGGTCATAGCCAAGTTCGTAGTCATAGTCCATTCTAACGTCGTTCCACAGATACACTTAGTTGAAGGCCTGCTCGCAGAGCCAAGTTTTCAGGCTCCTACGAAAGGCCATCAAGGAGGGCGCCTGTCTAACTTCAGTAGGGAGGGTGTTCCACAACCGGGGGGCCACCACCGAGAAGGCCCTCTCTCTCGTCCCCGCCAGACGTGCCTGCGAGGCAGGCGGGACCGAGAGAAGCGCCTCCCCGGATGATCTCAAGGCCCTCGTGGGCTCGTAGGCCGAGATGCGGTCTGCAAGGTATTTTGGGCCGGAACCGTTTAGGGCTTTGTAGGCTAACACCAGCACCTTAAATTGGGCCCGGTAGCAAATCGGCAGCCAGTGGAGCTGGGACAGCAGGGGCGTTGTACGCTCTCTGCGTCCTGCTCCCGTTAATAACATGGCTGCCGCGCGTTGGACTAGCTGAAGCTTCCGGGCCGTCTTCAAGGGCAGCCCCACGTAGAGAGCGTTGCAGTAGTCAAGGCGGGATGTGACCAAAGCATACCACTGCTTCCTCTTAATTTCTACTTCTCTCTCGAGTAAGGACAATACAGACATTAAGTTCAGGGCTAGATGAATTGCAGAAAACAGGGATGTTAAAGGATCTAGAGGTGCACAATGCAATTCTGCACCCGGAGGAGGATGGTCCATGGCAAAAGATAAAAAGCCATGGTTGTCTTGGGCATCATGCATGAAAATTGAGGGATACAAATTAGGATTATGTATAAATACAAGTGCCTGATCATTTGGAATGAAGCAGATGAAGATACCTAGATATGTTTACAGGAAAGGCATAATAAAAACTGACTCTGGAGAAGAACTACCAGGTATGTTTTTCTTAACAGATGAAGTAGAAAACAACCAAGGGTAGTGGTTCACTGGTCTGTAACACAAAGGAAAAAGTAGAACAGAGCAGTGAGGGTTTTTTTTTCAAAGTCATGCTTTAACAAGTTAAGGACTTCCAGTTCCAAGTCCATAGCTGGGAGCCTCATCATATCACACTCAGCCCTGTATTTATGATGGGATGGGGAAAGTGTGGCTCTCGGCCCACATGCCACCTAAAAGCCCAATTTTTGCAGCCATCACAAATTTAAATCTGGGTTTGATTTTCTGGTGATCCAGAAATTACTTGTTTTAAAAACTATTTATTAGAAAGTGTGTATGTTTCTTATTATGGGTTTTAAATAATATTGTAATTTCTTTTTTGATTTTTTATAAATTTTTGTTTTAGTTTCTTCTTTATAAATTATTATACATGGCCTTGAATCCCACCTTGGGAGAAAGTCAGGATATTATGTAAATAGATAAAAAGGTGGTTTCACTCTGCCAACTCTCCAAATCCCTACTGTTAAAATAAATTCTGCCCCCCCCCCCCCCCGGCAGAATTAGCCAAAAATAACAACCAGAAATGAGTTGTATCACTCCTAGAGCAGCTGGACATGTTGATATACCCCACAAAGGCGATTCATGAGGATGAAAACTGGCCCTTGCCCCCTGCTCAGTTTCCCACCCAATTATTTAGCTTTCTCTACCAATGAACTGGGTGGAAATGGGTTTCTTGACTGTGGAAATACCAGAGGAAAAGTATGCTTCTTGAACAGAATCGAAGAGTGAAGGCATGTCTCAAAGTAAGATGATCCATTCTTGAACAGCAGGCAAGTGATGACAGAAAGTATTAAGTATCTCTTACTTCAAAACCAGAGAAATCCAAAGTTATTAAAGCATCCTGTTAGGCCAAAGTAAACACCGCAAAGGCAACTGACTTCAAAATTAAGCAATTTGTGCCCTCAGTGGCTAAGCAGTGACATGAGTGAAATTAAGAGAGGACACCCACTGTGCAAAATGTGGAAACAGGAAAGTAATTCACATGCACTTAACTGAGCTAAAATCCAAGCAATTCATATTTTCTGCAGGAAATGTCATCCTTTAAAGCCCATGATTTTGTTTGATTCCATATGAGTCTCATTTCTCACGTTTTATTAATGAAGGGCTTATGGAAATCTCTATAGAGCCTTGTGTTCCTTTTGTTATTTCAGGCTGCAGAACAGAGTTAAGCTGCTGTTCTGGCAAAGATGGTGTATTGAATATGCTTATGTGTACATGTATACGCACACTGCAAAATCTTTCATGAGATTTATATCTCTTCAGAGTGTAGAGTAGCAACTGATGAAATCTGTCTGTCTGAATTTGGAACAGGATGGGTTTTTTCAGCTTCCCCTTTTCTTAAACAAATACTGGGGGACACCTGAACTTCTCTCAAAGTTCTTCAGAGTTAATCAAGACTCAGACCTTGGGAGCCAAGCTCCATTATCACAGATGGCAATGTTATCATTTGTCCATTTTCACCCCCCTCCTCAACTTTCTCACTCTAATCCAATTAGGAAATGAAGGGAAAGAAGCAGCCAAAACAACTGGCCATAGTCCGTCTTTAAAGAGGCAAGCTAGACACGATACCATTCACACAACTAAAAATGGCATAGTACCTTCCTTTAGTTAAAAAAGAAATAAGCATGATGTGCAAGATTCTCATGATTCTCACAAGACAGTTGTGGGTGCTAGCATGCATTTGTGTATCGATGCGTGGATGAATACATCTCCCTTGTCCTTCATATACTCTAGAGCCAAATTTAGACTTGGGTCACTTGCTACTTTACACTGAACAGAAAACATTTATTTGCATCAATAGAAAAGTTATTTCCAATGCAAGCGTTCCTTGATTTATACTGGGACTGTAATGGGAAGAAAGCAGCAAAGAGTTCATATCCTTGAACTTTTCCATCAGAATCCAAATCTGGATTCCCCCTCCCCCCACTTGCTACCTAATTTCTAACTATGTGAATGCCATCAAGGTCTTGCTCGGGTTTCAGTTCTCAGGGTTTTTGGCTCAGACCCACCAATACCAGTGGGAACTCTTTAAAAAGTAGGCTTTCCCCCTCCTGATCACTGAGTCAGGAAGATAAAAATAAAAATGCTTACTTCCCAGAGTTCACAATGACAATTCAAGAACAGCTTTAGAAGCAGACCACTCATGATCATCTTGGCTGTTGTTTTCCCTTCCTGATATTCCTTCCCTTCCCAATATGCATGGGAGGGAGTTGGCCTGGATGGCCCCTGTGGTCTCCTCTTATTCTATAACTCTATGATTCTCCTTTCCTAAAGCGTTGTAAATATAGGGAAAGGCAAACAAGAAGGTTTATAACAACTCATAAGAAATCCAAGTGACTTTTGGGCTCAAATTACAATGAAAGAAGCTTTTGAATGGGGGAGTTAATTTCAGACACTAGGGTGTGTATGTCATAGCTGTTTTTCTTCTTTAGTAGAGAGACAACTACAAAAGGTAAGTGAATTAGGAAATGCATCTTATTAACATTTTGGTATTCAAACCATTAGATTTAATGCAAATAATTAATATATGGGAGAGATGTTCTCCTGAGAACCAGCATGAGGGAAAACCAAATAATGATGGCTAGTTGAGTTTCCACTGTACTAGTTGCTACCAGTTGTTCTAAGATTCCTAATTCTATATTTATTTCCTCAGATTGGCCATTTCTTAGGAGAATTTCATCTGTTCAGAGCTCCCTATTGCAATGTCTGTCAAACATATGGCCTAGAATGGATTCTCAGGTGCCAAGTGGTTGAACAAAGAAGCATACATAAGAAAAAAAACCATTGAATAGCCTCAGGAGCCATTAGGAGATAAGATAATTACTTGCGCAGAAGGATTTCAGAGGCGCCTTTGCTGTACATGCGGAAGCCCCCGTCGGGATTCTTTAACACAGTACTCATGGACTTGCGGCTTGAATTGAAAGTGTAGACCTTGTATAGCTTTTCCTCAGGAACTTCATTGCGTACAGCCTGATAATCCTGTTTCAGGTCCAGCACAAAACCCAGAAGAGCACACTCTGTCTTGTTTCCAACTTGACGTGGGAGACCCCCTTCTTTCTCTGGTGGCTAAATTTCCCCAAATGAAGATAACATGAGAAATCCATAGTAAATCAAATGTAAACAGTCATGATTTATCATAGCCAGAAAACTGCAAAATACAAAGAAAATCAGCATGGAAAACCTACCTCATAGCTGAGTGCGATGTAATGAAGTGAGAATTGGGAAGAAGTGGTTTGTGTCCTTATTTGGTTATGAAATTCACTGGGTGAACTAAAACCCATCAAAATTTACTCATGCTTCACAGAGAAGATGAAATCACATCAGGTATACAGTTAACTAAGGGCCCTTCCAGATAGGCCCTATAATCCCAGGATCTGATCCCAGGTTTTCTGTTTATCCCAGATTACTTGGCAGTGTGGTCTCATATAATCCAGTCTAAAGCAGAAAACCTGGGACCAGATCCTGGGATATAGGGCCTGTCTGGAAGCGTCCTTACTTCCACTATGAGCTAAGAATCCTGCTTGGCCATGGCAATTTCATGGAATTTCTTGTTTCCTGCTATTTAACCTCTAATTGGGAATTACTATCCATAATAAACATAATTATCTTCTTTTGATACAGGAGTAGGCAACTTATAGGCTTTACTGAGGATGATGAGAGCTGAAGTTCAACAACACCTGGAAGGTCATACAAGGGGCGGGGTGTGTTCCTCAGCACCAAAGCAAAAGTTTACATTCCTTCTCTACACCTGTGACAATCCTGATAGCTATCAGCCTCTCTCAGAAATGCTATTTGCGTTTATTTTTTAAAAAATGGAATGTTAAATATAAATGCATTTAAATCTCATCTAGCTTGACACTAAACCTAGGCTCCTTGGGGGAGGAGAAACATAATGTAATAACAACAATGTAATGGAAAACATCTGGATTTGCCAGCGCTAAGTGCTTACTGTTAATGGGTAGAATGTTAAAGGGAAAATGACACTAAATTTTAAAGAGAAGTCCAAAGCCAGTTAGCAGAGTGGGTGTTATTTCCATCTTTCAAAAGTCAAAACCTTAATCTCTTTAGGTTTTAGTTCCTACCTGTGAAAAGGGACATTAGCAGAATTTCTTTACCTGTCAGATTTGTCTTTTCTGATCTCAGAGTGACTGGTGGGTATACAGAGCCTCCTTGTCAGTTCCAGACCAGAGAAGCTTTAAGGCTTATATATGGACATTTTGAATCAATCTGCACCAGATTAGAAAGTTGCTTTTTAAAAAGTAATTATTTATCATGTTTCAAGGCCAGTATAGTCTTGAGGTTCATAAAAGTGGTTTGTTGCTTTAATGGTTACCATTTAAAAAGTAATTATTTCCTTTCCTATATCTTAAGTAAAGTTAAGTAAAGCTGTTGCTCTCAAAACACTACACAAACAGGTGCGAATGCCACAAGTTGTCTGCCTATGGTACATTCACTTTTGCTGGTTCAGCACTCAAAACACGGCTTATGGTATGAGAGAAGCTAACATTTAAACAATTCATTTCCCCTCCTCCATTTAGTGAGGCTACACCCTGTAACTATTAAACTTGAAACATCAAGTGTTGCACAGCAAAAAAGAATAAAGTTACCATTTACGAAGGTGCAATTATAAGGCAATTATATAATATAATGTAATTATACATGTTATGATCATACATATTGGTTACTGGAAACAAAATGAATTAAAATATAAATAACTGGCATTTTATAACTGGCTACTTCTAAGCTTTATAATAATAATAATAATAATAATAATCCTTTATTTATACCCCGCTAACATCTCCCGAAGGACTCGGTGCGGCTTACAAGAGGCCGAGGCCAAATACATCAACGAAACAACAACATAACAAATACAACAATAAATAAACTTTGATCTGCATGATATCTTTTTTCCTGACACAGACATTTATTCTGGATTTGAAGAACATTTTGCTAACAAATGAAGGGTACTATGCGTTTTCAACTATATCTATATAAATTGAGGGCCAATATATGTACCTAGGAGCTATGTCCAAAAATACGATATAGATATAGATAAAATACAATATAGATAAAGTAAGATATAGCCGCCATGAGTCCCCCCTAGAGGGTTGAGAAGGGCGGGGTAGAAGTACTTGAAATGAAATAAATAAATAAAATACACCAATGTCATCCAGCATATGCTGCTTTTCCCAATAGAGATTTTTTTTCTGAAGTTACCACATGCATATTAAAAATTAGCAACATGTGATTTGCTCTTGGATTGGATCACGGCTTTTCTCTTCTTCACTGAATGTGCTGCAAGTTAGAGAGCAAATATTCATACACATATATTCCCCCAGTTAAAAACACACATATCAGTAGATCAGAACAGAAATTGAGTGGAAATGTGAAAGCATTCCTCCTTTGATAAAAAAGAACAGAAAATGAACAGTGCCCAACTCAATATTGCCAGCTTAAGCCCTTTCAACCTACTCTACTCCCCAGGAACAATGTCATCACTGAGGGTGATCAGCACAGGTAGGGCAGCAAGTGGAAGAGGATTCCTTAAGAGATTCTCTCCTACTCTTTCTGCCTGCTTCCTACCAGTTCAGTGGCACTGTTCTCATGCCAGCAGCAACCTGCTTTTCAACCAGTTAGAAGGTGGAGCAGAGGTCTGGTGGGACTGTCTTGACTTTGAAGATGTTGCCTCTTTAATCTGGCCTACCGCTTTGGAGACAGAGTAAGCAAACAGCAGTGAGTACACGGGTTTTTCTGAAAACACTGATGCCCTCCAGGTATTTTGGCTAATTCTCATTTGGGAATTTTTTGGAGCTGTTACCCTGAACATCTCAACAGCACCAGGCTGTCTACTGCTGTTTTAAAGAAATGCTTGAATGGGACAGATTCATTTTCAGGGAAAGTGCAAAGATCATACCAGTTAAATTTTGTGTAGTCTTGGGATTACACCTATAAAGGAATGTCAAGACCTACATAGAATGACTTAGGCCACTGCCACACAGCTGAATAAAATCCCACATTTTCTGCTTTGAACTGGAATATATGGCAGTGTGGATTCAGATAACCCAGTCCAAAGCAGATATTGTGGGATTTTTTGCCTTGATATTTTGAGTTGTGTGGCTCTGTGGAAGGGCCCTTGGGCACACAGTGAAGAGGAGTGTGTGTATATCCAGTCCTTCCACTAGAAAGACAATCCTAAGATCCTGAGAATGTGATGCATCTCTATGAAATCCTGTTCCCTATCAAACAGTAGAAAGAGTTTCAGATTCTAGCTCATTCGCAACAAAGCAACTGAGACTCACCAAAATTTTAGAGGTGTATGCAGAGTTTATTGCGACACCATTGACAATGAGATCCAGGATCTTGGGCAAGATGGCCTCTGGGTCAGGGATCTGTCGATAATGAGTGTCACCCACATAGGCTTGCACCACAGTCATACGGTTCATGGTCAGGGTACCTGTCTTATCTGAGCAGATAGCGGTGGCATTGCCCATTGTCTCACAAGCATCCAGGTGCCGAACCAGATTGTTATCTTTCATCATTTTCTGTGTAAGGAAAATACAACAATAACTGAGGACAGCAGCAAACAATTCAGCAGCAGAGAGGCTAACAGGCCATTAGAATAACACAAGATTTCCCAGAGCAGAAAAGACATTAAAGTAGGGGATCTGGCTTCCTCGCAAATTTGCCTCTTTAGAAATAATTTAATTTAAAAAAGAAAAACCTGGGTTCCCACCTTCAGTGGTACACCTAAAAGCTCTGACTCCATAATGAAAAATCTTGGAAGCCACATGGAAGGAAAAACACAGGGTATGTAAACAGATAAAATTGAGGTCTAGCTATCTTTTTGGCCTTGGTGTGATGGCTCATATGTTTTTTGAACAGTTGGGTTAATGTGCCAATTTGCTCTACTTGAAGCACTTTAAAACTTTTCTCTGTATGCATCTAGACACAGAAAGTGCAGATATACACTCCTTAAAATGGAGGATATTTGATTAATTCTCTTTTTTTGAATTCCAATGAGACCTGACCTAAGATTCACATCTCTTAAGACTGGTGCAGACTGAAATGTACTCATCCGTCAGATTTTCCACTTCTCCAAATGACATCACACACTTCCTGGCTTTAAAAAAGACTAAATTAATTTTTAAACAGGTGGGTTAGGAAAAAAAACATTAATGAAAAAAGTATGATCAAGTATGTATTTGAATCAATATTTGTATTTTAACTATTCATAATCTTTTTATAAAAAGTAATTGCACATTACAGAAATGCCTCCAATGAACACACAAAAATTGATCCAGACTAGATGGAACAAGTGATCTCATCAAGATCAGCTGTATTATTAGGAAGATTCCATAAAAATAGGCCAAAATGCTTAAAGGGATTCTTGGTATAATATTCAGTTGAAACTAGAATTGCTTTTACTGGGACCGATAAGTGACCAAATGCAGAAGGACCATGATAATGACAGCAAGATTAGTGTATGTATGCACAGAAATGGAAAAACACCATAATTCCAATGATTAACCACAGGCTGTTGAAATCAACTGACCTACTAAAATGGAAAAAATAAAATGAAATGCTGATTAGAGAAAAGTCATTGGTGACATTTTCAAAGGATTGGAAACTTCTTTTTGCAGAAAAGCAAGACAATATGTAAACTGTAGGTTTTGATAATTAACAGGTTTGTTTGGTTAAGTTGAAGAAGTGTATGAACAGTAATGGTTGGATAAGTAATTTTAAATAGAAAGGTATATAACTATTATTACTAAAGTCAGAAGTCAAATGTGAATCCCCCTTTCCCCTGCTCTATAGACTTCTTTGTTTCTATCACTTTTTTCTCCTCTAGGAAGAGAAGAAAAGGGTTAAACCCTTGTGCTGGCAGGACTAAAGACCGACAGGTCAGAGGTTCAAAAATCTGGAGAAAGTGTGGATGAGTTCATTCTGTCAACTCCAGCTCCCCATGCAGGGACATGAGAGAAGCCTCTCATGAAGATGGTAAACCATCAAAACATCTGGGCATCCCCTGGGCAATGTCCTTGCAGTTGGCCAATTCTCTCATGCCAGAAGCGACTTACAGTTTCTCAAGTCACCCTTGACACACACACACAAAAACCCGAAACTTTTTTCTCTTTGTATTTTTTCTCAGTTTAAAATGTATAATGAAAATATTAATAAAATGTTATTAGAAAGAGTGGGGCAGTGATGTCAGGTGGTAAATACTGTGCAGTGGGAAGTGACTGAGAATGGTACTGTATGTTTCGACATAGCCTTCCCTGTAGACTTTAAGTTCATTTGCTTTCTTCAAGTGTGGTAGAGGAAACCAGTTGTGAAGGAATTTTTAAATCTTTATTAACACAAATAATTTTATACAGTATAAAACAACACATAGAGAAAAACAGAAAGGACTCTAAATACAAGCAACCTAACCTAAGTGAAGGGAAGTTCAACTGTCACTTTGGGAAGCTTTGTAAATGCAACTGGGAGGGTCCTAAAATATTTTCTACTTTATCTCAGTTAACTAATCATCTCAGACAATCCCTGAAATCTGCCTATTAATTACTGAGGCTCCTTTAACTATTGAAAGAGGAATCTACTTATCATTTGATTGTTTGGAAAATGAAATCTAGTCTTTCTTTTCTAAAGGAAAAAGAAGGAAAAAGAAGTCAGAGACAGACTGAAGGACAGAAAGTAAACAAGCCACAAAACATCCTACCTTGAGCCTGCCCCTCCCCACAGTTTACTTCCAAACCAAATTTTTCTCTGGATTCCACTTTCTCACCTTGACAGAGTAAGCTAAAGAGATTGTGACGGCCAGGGGCAATCCTTCAGGCACAGCAACCACAAGCACGGTGACACCAATGATGAAAAACTTGACAAAATATTGGATGTAAATGGGGGTACATTCGGCCAGCCATGACCGTCCTTGAATTCCAAAGGTGTCAATCACAAAATACAACACAAGGATAATCACTGTGATGGCTGACATGATCAATCCTGAGAAAGAAGAATTAGAAAAAAAGCTAAATGATGCTGGCCAGTCTTATAGTAGATCAAAACAGTCACAAAAGAAGGGAATCTACAGACTTGATTAAGACTTACTTGTCAGACTATCTTTTGCAAACCTGAAAGTTTGACTACAACTCTTATCAATCTTAATAAACACAATCAATGATGAAGAATCATAGAAGATGAAATTCCATGAGAGGGCTCTATATTGGGAAAAATTGAGATATAACCTAAAGTAGATTCTCATTTGCTTTTCACGATTTGAAAGACAATGTGAGATGACTACAGCTCCCATCATTACATGCAGCTGGAGATTATGGGAATTGCAATCATAATACATCAGGGGACTATCAGGTTGGGAAAGAAAGCTGATAGGAAACCAATTAAATCACTATCAGCAACAGTTCTGTTGTGGGTTAATGACTAACATGAAGAGGCCAACTCATTTTTAAAGAGCTGCTTATTTATACTAAATGTAATATCATTGTGCTCTTTCCTCTTATTAGAGGATTCTTCAAGTTCTCAGGCAAGCTCATCTACATGCTATCTCTATACTACAGTTTGTGAGGCTGGACAAGGAATCTTCAGCCTTTGATGCTTGAGCTGATTAGTCACAGAACACAAACTATTCATGAAAACATTCCCAGATTTAATCCCGCACTTCCAGTAAAACCAATTTTCAAAACCAGTGTGGATCTGTTTTAGAAGGCTGTTGATAATCACAACAAACATTAAGCCAAATGAACAAATGGTCCAACTCAAGCCAAGGCAAGTTTCAGAAAGGTACTGTGTGAATATTTTATTGAGTTAAGTCAGATTCTGTATACCATAAAACTTAAGCAGAACTGCACTGGAGAGTTTGGTGCTTTGTTAGATCTTGCTTTTCTTGTTAATGCACAAATCCCATTTTAATAAAATTCAGTGTCAAGCCCAAGGAGTAGCCCCTGCAGAAAGTCACTGAACAGCTAAATCTCCCCCCAGTAACATGCTCACCTGCTTTACCAATCTGAACTGCCAAGCGAGTGAGCTTGCCCTGCAATACAGACTTCTCCTTCTTGGGGACCTTCACTTTTTTCTTTTCTTTCTCCTCGTTTTCTATTCCTTCTTGGCTTTTCAGTGGCTGGATCTCCAGGGCAACACCATCCTGAGTTTTGGCTGGATCCAGGATAAAACAAACAGCAAGTGAGTAGGGAAAACAGTGCCAACTAGACCCAAATGTAACAGAAAAGAAGGTACGATGGCACAAAGATAGAAAGAGAGAGAGAGAAAGAGAGAGAAAATCCCAGTGCACAGGAACTCCAACAGCATTCACCAACACTTGGTAATATGGAAACCTAGGAAGTTCAGGGAGCTCTGCTCCACATCCCTCTGGAATAAGTGACTGCTGCAGCTTGTGAATATCTCCCCCCTCAGGAAAATACATTTTAACAATTAAGTTGACTACACTTGGAAAGAAAGGCAGCCTTGCAAGGAAGGCACAGGAGTTGCAACTCTGGGTGGGGATCTATTTCCAGGATCAGCTTGCTGACTTGCTGCCTGTCCCTGTGCAAGGCATCTCCTCCATCAGCATATCTGTAAAATGGATCTTATCAGTACTTACCTTACTGACCTGGCAACATGGAGGGGGTGCTAATTTGGAAATGCCTACAATACACAAACTCCCACATCATGACTAAAGCTAGCACCCAGTTCCTTCGAAGGGGGCAGGGTTGGCTATGTGAGAAGCAAGTGTAAATGACTCAGATATTATCAATTTCACCTGCTCAGATGGACAGAGAAAGTGAAAGAAAGTATCTGTCTAGTGTCTTTCTGAGAGTTTAGTACTCCAAAAAGAAGTCTAGAAGTGCTCCAGATTTTTGGGAGGAAGTACAGCATAAAATATAAGCTCTCGTTTTAAATGGTGACCTCAAGATAATATTCTGATAAGCAATTCCCCAATCTTGAAAGCCTTTTTTCCTGTCAGTTCTCTCACATGAATCTGAGAGGTAATGTTTTTCAGTGTGCACAGGCAACATTTGTGGAGTTACAGGTGGGAAGAAAGAAGGGGGAGAGGAAAGTTCATCATGAGGGGGCAAGGACTGAGTCAGCTAATGAGAAGTGAATCTGTTAGTTCATTTTTCCTCTCAGTCTCTCCTGTAATTTTGCAATCTAGTCCCAAATGCTTGGAACTTCTGCTAAATACAAGAGGTAGATCACCAACTAGTGCATATCAGCATTGTTGCAGCAATTCACATAACCTAACAGAGGTAGGAATTCAATTCCTTATTCCCTAAAATAAATAAAAGTTGTAAAGACGGCCAAATACTTAACACTTTTATGCTCTGTGCTTCTTTTAATCTCTTTCGTCTTGCTTATCTGGCCACTTGTAAATACTGCTAAGTTTTTTTTTAAAAAAACTTAAGAGTAGAATACAAATTGCTCATCAGAAATAAACACAACATGTCATCCATTACTAAAGGTATGCAGATTCAAAAGAATTATTGTGTGTGGCTGCCTTGTAACTGATCTGCACAGTTAGGATTTAAGGGCATGACCAAAGGTGAGAGGGCAGTAGGAGAGGAGAAACAATCCCAAAATAACCCAAAAGTTGAGATCGGAAGAAGGGAAAACTCAAAACTGCTGAGAAAAGGGAGAGAAAGAGAAAGGTGAAGGTGCAGAAGGGAGAACAGACAGGTGCAGAAATGGGCTTCTTCACCATAGCCTGGAAAGAACAGGGGGTGAAACATATCAGAGAACAGACGCTCACTTCGAATCAAAAGGCCATGAGAAGAAGAGAGTGTAATGGCTACACATGCTGAACCCACCAGAGGGATCTGATTTCTAAATGTTCAGATTGGAGGTCCATGTAATTTTGGGGGAAGCGAGAGACTTCATTACACTATAAGAACAAAGCATCCAAAAGATGAGACAGATTTTAAGTGTGACATAGCCTCATGAGTTAGCTGGGGAGGGAAAGGAGCCTTCTTAAGGTCCTATAAGCATTCTGTTTTTGCCATACATTGTATGATATCCTATCCCTTCTTTATGAAGAACTTTACACTTATGAAACACTTATGAAACTTCAGTGGGAGCAATATACATGTGTGAGAGAACAACAAGGATTCATGGACACTGCTCATTTGGCCTAAACTTTCATGGACCATAGCCCACTTCAAATATATTGAGTGTTATCTAAGATATTTATGCACATACATGGAGTAGGATGAAAATGAATAGCTATGCAAAAATCACTTAATACTAGTAATTTAACAGTTATTGAGAGATGACATCCCAGCATGTGATAGTCTGTTTACCTAGATCACATTGTCACCAACATTTGCAACCTTGCCTTTCTGTTCAATTTCATTCCTGTTCCATCCATCTACAATATCTGCTTCCTGAAATAATAATCTAGCCATCTAATGAAGTGGGTTATGGTCTGCAGAAGCTTAGCAAAATAAAACTTGTCCATCTTTAAGATTAAGCCACATGGCTTGTTGTTGTGTTTGCTGCAACAAATTAACATGGTTACCTTACCATATAAACAATATATAAACAAACTTCTCCCATAGGACCAAATCTGAAATAGCCTTCAACTAGCTGAGGGTGCTGTGGCCGAAAAGTTGAAAGAGTCAGTAGACATAGAAAAGAAAAATCCAAACAAACAAGGTGGGTGGTTAGCACTGTGATAATCATTACACCCTCTTCCAGAACAACAAGGCGAGATTCCCGCCGTAGCGACAAAGAGCACAGACTCATGGGAAGAAGGAAGGAGGAATGCTTAGTAGTTAGTGTGGTGCTGGTTCAAAGATGGAGAGGCTGGTTACCTTTGTTGCGATTTTCAGGGGCTCCGGGTTTTTTACCTGTTCAGACAAAGAGAGAAAGGGTGGAGCACTGAGCACACGGTTTGTGATAGCGATGTCCCTGCTGGTGAGGACACCCGTATGCGGGGGCTCAGTGCTCTCTTGGGGGAGGCTGCTGGATGGGGAAGGAAAGCTATATAGGATACTGGTGCCACCTGAGCACCATCACAAAAGGGATGGAGAAGTTCAATGTTTTCCCCAATTTAAATGCCAATGCAAACCCCCCTTCCTCACTCTCCTGAGAGCAGCAAGCAGCTACTGAAGTAAGCATCCAATTACATGAATGGAATCATGCTATTGGAACTAATGTATATTTGGAGGTACTGTGATGACTTTAGTTTCAGCTCCCAATGCTGCAAGAAATGTCTTGTGTAGTGATGCCAGATGCTTATCCTCGGAGGTCAGTTCCAAAGGGAGTTCTAAATCTAGAGACTTTAACTCGTTCTCAAATATAGCCTCCTGGAATCAAACATTTTCAAAAGTGTTTTAGCTACTTTTAGTACAGGGACAGAAACAAAGGACTGTAACACCGTTTACAGTTTGGGTAAATTTTAAAATATCTCTGGAGGGTCCTGGGTTGCCTATTTATTACAGTTTTCTATCAGAAAACCTAGGCTGCCAGATGAGCAGGAAAGACTTTCCTACCACCTTTTTCTTAAGAACAAAATCCCTGTATAACAGAAGAACAGTTCAAAATTTCTCAGAACTGCTTCTAGGAAAGCCTAGGCTTTATCTGAAGAGCTGAATCCAAGTCTTTAATATGGGTAGTTCATAAACATTGCTGGTTCATAAACACTGCAACTGCTTGCAAATGCAACTCATATGTGTCATTACCATATAAGTCCATGGTCCATGCTCCTACATAAACCCACAAAGATCAAAGAGAGCTGTCACCTCTGGCAAAAGAGCTCTGGATCACTTATAGAAAAATCCATCCTGCTACTATTTGTCTAGTGCCTTAGTAGCATGCATAGAACAATGGTGAAAATAAATAGCAAATAAAAATGTGTTGGAGAAATAAATCTGCTTTAATGACATAAAGACATAGGTAAAAGTTTCCCCTTAACATTAAGTCTAGTCATGCCGAACTCTGGGGGCTGGTGCTCATCTCTATTTCTAAGCCGAAGAGCTGGTGTTGTCTGCATGGAGCGCCACAGGTCATGTGGCTGGCATGACTGCATGGAGCACCTTACCTTTCCACTGGAGCGGTACCTATTGATCTACTCACATTTGCATGCTAGGTTGGCAGAAGCTGGAGCTAACAGTAGGAGCTCACCCTGCTCCCTGGATTAGTCAGCAAGTTTAGCAGCTCAGCAGTTTAACCCACTGCACCACTGGGGGCTCCATTAAATACATGCATATATTCAATGGTTTTCCTAGTGATTGTGTTTTTATTTTACAGTGCGTGGGTTTATGTTGCTTTTCCTTGTAACACATATAATAAATAAAATGGTGTGTGGGAATCCCCTCTTCAAATACCATGCCAGCTCCCTTTACTAATCAATTAGGACACATATTGACTAAATTGTTTTTGGGATAATTAGGGCATTCAGACTGCCTCAGTTCAGCTGCTACAATGTGCCTGTGAGGAGGCAACGTGTCCCTGAGGCCTCTTGGGGGAATTTCTCATAGTCATCAGTGCTTAGAACACATCACATCATACATTATTATTCTCCAAAGAAAGGCAGAATGTTTCCACGGAGGTCTGTGGGCAGAGAAGCTTTATGGAACCTTGGATGGATTATTTAGGATTCTGATTTCTGCCCCTCTCAAAAGAACAATTTCATCTACCAGGCAGCTACAACTACAACCATTTCAATTTTCTTTGATTTTTCATATTTAAAAAATAGGGGAAAGTGAAAAGCAACTTCTGCACATGTAGAGAGAATGGACCGCTTGACTATTGAGGAAACAGCCCAGCCACCTCTTACTCTGCCTCAGCCTTTTTAATATAACTAACAAGCACCAGCGTCTAGTATAGTTTCATTTGAGAAAATGCTGGAAATCCCCTCATCAGGTCACTTCATTTCTCCCTGGATAACTTGCCAGGGTGAATTTAAAGTGCACATGCTTCGTTTGGCAACTGTGAGCAAATCCAACATGTGGGCAATGGTTCTGTTTTTGTAAAGCATCAAAGCCTTATTTGGAAACTAAAGCTACTGTGTAAAACTCAGCGTGAATTAGCGCAGCTTATGTGAGTGACAGCCAGCATTGTCCAGGGCACGCTGCTGAATTGGTTCAAGTTCAGTCTGGCTGCTTTGATACAAATCTGCTTGGATCTTGTTTAACATCTAAAGTTGTTGTTACCCCATCTGAGCTTATTATTCTGCAAAATGGAAATAAGAATGGCATACTTCACAGGATTGTGGGGGTGAGGGTGGGGGGTAGGAGGCAACACATTAATGTAACATATTCCTTTAAACACCATATAAAGTTTTTATAATGAATGTGTTCTGAAACCTGTCTTCACTGGTCCAAGCCATGACAGAATTTATTTTTAAGACACCTCTCTCACACAATATATCTAAGGATGATGGCAGGACAAAGACATCCTTTTATTTCCCTTTATTTCGGATTCTGTCAAGGCAGAGGCACCACTAGCCTCAGATTAAAATAAACACTAAACAAAACATTTATAAAAATATGTACTTTCTAGTCAAGAGGTTGGAACAAGACATTTGCAGTGAATATGAATCATTCTAATTGCAAGCATTTTTTCTTTAAAGCTTAGAAAACATAAGAGTCGTGTTATGGGTCCAATAAGAAAATCCAGAAAGGTGCTTCTGAAAAGCCCACAAGCATGATCTCCAGGCCTCGGTTCTCCCCATCACTCTTGGACCTGGTGTTTAGAGGCATAATGTTATCATGGTGAAATAACCACTAAAACACCTCTCTTCTGTAGTCTTATCTTAATCCTACACACTAATAACACCTGCCTTTATACAGGCAAATTGGCACCATCAATGCCCAAAAGGTATCAGCATGTTTAGGGGAAACTCTTTAAGTGCACTAGAAAACATGACCTCCCCTTTGAAATATCTCTCTCAAAGGGACTGGAGAAACGTTTAGGATTCAATAAAGACTAAGACTGGAAAGTGGATGGAATGGAGTTTTTAGCAATGGGCATAGTTAGCTGGTAGGCTTCTTATAAAGGAACACTTCACACTACACCATTTTGTAGCAGGTCTAATTTCTAAAAAACTATAAGAGCAAAAGGGGGCTCAGTACTGTAACTCTGTGTCATGTCCGAAACTAATTTACAGAAAGAATTTTCATTTCCCCTCCCCATCTTTGGCATCACTGAGATCCAAATGAACAGTAACACAAAAGCCATAAAAAGCAATGTGGCTTCTTTTGCTGGAATACCTCTACCAGCTATAGTTTGAGTTTACACAGCTTTAGAAAGAGTTACGGCATGCCCAACATATTCTCACAGAGCCCCAAAAGTCTGAATCAAGATATTCACACTCAGGGAAGTTTATGCTCCCACCCTAGTAACCGAACGTCAATACAACTAAAGAATTGTAAGAAGATGCTTCCCATAGAAAGCCTGGCTTCTGAACATTACCTTTCTTGACCTTCTTCTCCTCTTCCCCTTCTCCAGCACCCAGAAGAGTAAAAATAATTCCAGTTTGTGAATTGACACCCACAGCTGTGACCAGCATTCGACCAGAACCCTCCATCACATGAGTACCTGGGGTTTTGAAAAAAAAAAGATGGAAGGTGAAAAAGAGAAACAAGACAGATTAAATAAAAACCCATCTTATTCCATTTGGAAGTTGAGAGAATAAATAGCTAACGGACTTCAATGCAATGGCCACTGTTTCAAATCTAAGCTAAACGACTAATGACAAGGGTTTTGTATATGTGCCATTGCAACTAGGGGAAGCCGGTGTGTGCTGGTTTCTCCATTCCCATTGGAAAGCAAAACATAGGAAAAGGAGACATTTTGCTATGTTGAGCTTCCTTGAAGATGACTGAAAAGCTACAGCTAATGCAACATTCAGCAGCTAACTAGAGAAATCATGCAATTCCAATATTAAAGAAATTGTACGAGCAGCCAAGAATTCTGTCTGCAATCAAGGTGCTACTGACAATATGCAAAAAACACATTCTTAAATGGTTCAAGATCTTGATACTTGAAGGAGCATCTCTTATCACCTGCTGGGAAAATGAGGTCTCCTGGAAAGGTCCTCTTCCATGTCTCAGTAGTGGGAGCAACACAATGTAGGAGAATGTGGAAAGGGGTCTTCTCAGTTATGACACCACAATATAAGGGGATACCATGTCACCAAAGAGGCTCAAAACCAAACTCCTGTGCCCCACAAATACAAATTTAGGATAGGTTACTATGTTTGGCAGACTTACCAGAAAGCAGCATGGGGTCTTTTTCCAGAGATTTCTTCACTTGGTCTGATTCTCCAGTAAGAGAGCTCTCATCAATTTTCAGATCATTGCCCTGAATCAGAACCCCATCTGCAGGTAACAAATCACCTGGAAGAAGAAATTGGAGTTGTTTGGCTACTTCCCAACAAAACAAAAATAAGTGCATCTTTTGTCATTTCTAAAGCCCAAACTACATATTCTTCTTCATGCATGTGTAGGAAGGAATGTCTCCATGCTTACGTCGATTACAGGCACAGGTGATGCAAGTGTTACTGAAAATGAGGTCAAATGAGGAGGTTTATTATTACTTCCTCAGAAAAAATATGTTTGGTGCCAACAGTAATGTCTTTCAAATCCCTAACTATACGGGGAGGGGGATCCCCATGCTGGGAAAGGAAGAGATCAGCCTCCCCACCTTGCATACTGTATTCATGAGAAACCAGGGATGTGGAACATATGGCTCTCCAGATATTGTTGGATTGCACTTCCCAGCACACTTCAAATGGCTATGCTGGTTAGGATTGCTAAGAATTGCACCCAAACAATATCTAGAAAAGCATATGATTCCTACCCTGGCTCTCATCCAATTGTTATTCTGATTGAATCAAGAGACTCACCTAAATGTTCCCTTACTATTCAGTTCCTGATTTCATGAGTCTAGTCTTGTGGAGAATAGTGGTAGATTGTGCTTGAATATTGCATCTCCACCACTCCATTTATAATTACCATAAAAACATAGACACGGGCTGCATATCATTGGACATATGTCTAGTTTAGTCCCAAGATCTATTTGAAATGAAGTGCAGAGTCTCTCACCGCCCAAGTATATTTGCAGTTCTACAAACTGAAAAAATATGAGTTTGATGTGAGCTCTATGAAGGTGAAAGGGTATTTGTACTATAGAAGAACATTACGGTAATTTTGAGATAGGCTAACAATATGAATGTCTATGTATTTAATATTCTCACAGCATAGAAGTTTCATTTGTGAAAAATCTGGTGAATTTGGTCCCATTTTCATTATACTTTCCTCTAATATTTAGTCTACATCGCATTCACCCATACTATTCCTATCTAACTTGCTTCTCACAAAACTTGGCACCTGCTGTTTGCCTGACATGTACACTTTTGTCTATGCCATTTACCCATTATGTTCCTCTATCTCACCTCCTTTACTTTCAATCCCTACACAAGCTAAGGCAAATGCTGTGATCCTCTAGATCAGGCCTGGCACTCCAGGACTTCCACAATTCCTAACAGCTGGTAAATTGGCTGAGATTTCTAGAAGTTGGGGACCCAAGCACCTGGAGTGGCACAGATTAGCCAGGCTTGCTTTAGAGCACTGGTTCTCAACCTGTGGGTCTCCAGGTATTTTGGCCTTCAACTCCCAGAAATCCCAGGAAGTTTACCAGCTGTTAGGATTTCTGGGAGTTGAAGGCCAAAACATCTGGGGATCCACAGGTTGAGAAGCACTGTTCTAGATGCTGTTGGGCTGCTGTTTCCGTCATCCTTAACCATTGGCTATGTTGGCGAAGGCATATGGAATCTACAGTCCAGCAACTTCTGAAGGACCATATGTTTTCCATTCTTATCTTACAAGAAAATCAAAAAATCTAAAGTCCTTCAAACTAAATCATTCCTTCTATTCTTACACTTCGCTATGCTGCACCAGATGCCTCTGCTCTTACTTGGGTACAAAACATTTCTGGTTGTCTTTTAACACAGTTTTGGGAATTAAAAAGTGACTAAAATATTAGTGGTGGATGGGTACGAAGTCTGGTGAGTGTGTCCACATTTTCAAATACAGCAATTAACACAGGGAAAGAGAAAATCTTCAGACCAGTCACTACTGTTCACTCACCATATTTGATCTGAGCAATGTCTCCCACTACAATCTCAGCCACAGGGATTTGGATCACTTGCCCCTTGCGGATGACTGTGAACTTCTGCTCCTGCTCGATGCGGCTCTGGAGGCCCCGGAACTGTTTCTCTTTACTCCAGTCATTGAAGGCTGTGACCAGCACCACAATAATGACTGAGAAGAGGATGGCTGCCCCCTCAATCCATCCAGCCTGGGCCTCACCTTCATCCTCTGCACTGCCTTTTGCTTCCCCACATGCTGCAAAGAAAGAAAGAAAAGGGAAAAGAGAGGGAGGGAGGAAGAGATGCTCTTAATTATAATCTTTAACTTTTACAGCACCTTCCATCAGTTGCTTCTTGTAGGTCTTTACACAATACAATAAAGTAGAACTATTGTTCTAGATCAGTGGTTCCCAGCCTTTGGTCCTTCCAGCTGTTTTGGACTTCAGCTCCTGAAAATCCCAGCCAGTTTACCAGGTGTTAGGAATTGTGGGAGTCCAAAAGTCCAAAACACCTGGAGAAACAAAGGTTGGAAACCACTGTTTAGGATCTTGGGTATATAAAATAAGTATAAAAACCAAATATTTACTGCTAACAAGTCAGCATTTGCAAGGCCTACTAAACTGGCTGATTTTCCTTTTTATGACGTACAGCTTAAGCATCTTGTGCAAAGTCCACTGTAAACCCTACATAACAGATTCATGTAAATGTCTAAAATAGCTACTAGGTGATGTTCAGAAAATGTTGGCAAGTTTTTCAGGACCTAAGGGGACCCCATTTGGGGTTGTGACCTACAGTTTAAGCAGTTTTTTAGACCAATGATTCCCAGTATTGAGTTCCCAGACAGTTGTTATCCACAGCTCCCAGATTTCTAACTCATTGTGGCTAATGGCAAAGGGAAATGTACTCCAATGGGATCAAGTGTTTGGAACTTCTTGTCTAGACCTGCTTTTCTGAACCTGATGCACATACTCAATACAGTGTAAAGAAGGGCCATATCTAGTGTTTATAATAAATGATACTGAGAACAGAGTAAGATACACTGTAGCCAAAAGCTTGCAGTGACAAAGAGACAAGGAACAGCCATACCCATAGACATAGACATCTAATTAGGGGTAAACCCTATTGGATTCTGTAGGACTTCCAGGTGAATAACATTGTGCCCGTGGCTAAGTACTGAGCACACAGGAATATCATCCTGTGAAACTGCATAGGTGAAGAAGAATTCTTTCACAGAAAGAGTGTATCCTTAGGGAGAGTGTTGATGACAGTTTTAAGAGGACATTTAAGAAACATAAATAACTACATAGTACAATTTGTTTCTTTGGACGGACATTTTGACCTTATTTATTTTACTTAATAGAACAATTCCAGGCCACCTTTCCTCGAAGACCCAATGCCACTCTTTTTCTGAAATACAAAATATCTACAAGCCAGTAGGGAGGGAAAAAACTTAACGAGAAATTCCCTGAAGATTCCCTCACTTTGGCTTGGTCTTTTTAATCTGCTTCTCCTTAAATGTAGAAAAATTCAAGGAAAATCCATCTGACAAACTGAATCCTAGATGATAAACACTGCAAACTCTACTGCTTCCTCTTCCTAAGGCTTAAAGCACTAAATCCCCATATTCTAGACCACTGGTTCTCAACCTGTGGGTCCCCAGGTGTTTTGGCCTACAGCTCCCAGAAATCTCAGACCGTTAACCAGCTGTTTGGATTTCTGGGAGTTGAAGGCCAAAACATCTGGTGACCCACAGGTTGAGAACCACTGTTCTAGACTTTGCATCTTCATACACACACACCTCACTTGATTTCCCTCAGCTTCATTGGTGAAGAGGGCGTGTGTGTCTTGTGCATAATTCTGGGGGAAAAAATCTGTCAACATTGGGTTTGTGATCTACAAAATGGGGTCCTATTGGTGACATGAGGTCTATATGCCACATTTTCCCTACTTTGGTGGAAGATATTAATCCTCCAATAAAGCACAATAGTGAGTTCTCGGAAATTGATCTCCTAGGGTATTCGCAGGTACTCATCCTTTCTTGGATTGAGAAGGTCAGTTCATCTATCCATGTATAGACAAACATGGTGATGTGGTTTGAGTGTTGAACTGGGAGACCAGAGTTCAAATCTCTTCTTGGTAATCGAAATCTACTGGATGGCTTTGGGCAAGTTGTATTTTTTCAGCCTCTGAGGAAAGCAGTGGCAAGACTTCTCTGAGCAAGTCATGTCAAGAAAACTCCATCACAGATTTTGCATAAGGTCATCAGAAGTTGGGTCTAAACATTGCAAAGTCACCAAATCCAGTTTGATCTTGGAAGCTAAGCAAGACTGACCTTGGTTGGTTCTTAGATGGGAGATTGCTAATGAATCAGGTGCTATTTGTTATATTTCAGATGAAGGAGCAGGCAAAACCATCTCTGAGTACTCATTAAGAAAACCCAGTGAAATGCATGAGGTCACCAAGTTTGACAAGCAATCTACTTGCAACAACTCAGAAGAAGGGTGCTACATGTGGGCTAATTTCCTTCCCCATAAGTACACTTGTAAGCGCCACATTTCTACTTTGAACACACTTTCAAATCTCAGGAGAACTCAAAAGATTATGGGCTTATGCTATGCTGAGGATGCATCCTTCATAACTAGATAAACAGAAGGAAGAGCACTACTTTAATTCTCCTGAAGGTTGGAATGGTGCAGCTCTTCAAACAAAAACACGGGTGGGAATATGCCGCTCTAGGCCAATAGTAAAGAATACAGGAAATTGCGGTTCAACATCATCAAGAAAGACATATAGTTCTCAACCCTGTTTTAAAAGACTATTTTATAATGTCATTGTATTAAATGGATTTTGATAATGAATAGAAACACTTCTGAGTTCATTCATTATGCACAGGAGCCACTTAAAAATGACAGCATCTGAGAAAGCAGTCTGACTATAGCCATAATGTTGTGAATTTTGATTTCCCGCTGGCTCCATGTACAAGTGCCGAACCCAATATCTGCCAGAGAATTTGGTATCTTAACACTTTCAAGGAGAAAAGAGAGAAGGATGGTGTGCAAAGTGTGAAGGTTCTGCACCTCCAATCAGTTTGTGATTAGAATCTTCACAACATGTTCTACAAAGCTTTGCTGCTGATCAGATATTTCAAGTGAAACTTCCTTTCATCCTCATTGTTTAACATTATTAGAAACATTTTTCTTTTTTTGGATTGCAATTGAGGATGCATGCATAAAGGTCATTCTCAGAAACCATATGACATGTAGAAAAAGAGAGAATTATTGCTATTGCTCAAATTTGCAGACATATGTTTCTAGAACATGATAAGCTATCCACTAACCAACTTGCTTTCATCCATGAGCCTGCTAAATGTTGCTGAAGGCTTAGCATAAAGCTTTTCCAAATGCCTCTGGAGGTTCGTCTACACAGCAGGTGGGGGCTGACACAATTATGAATGTATTAGCTGGCTAAGGCAAGTAAGCACTATAAAAGGAGCAGTTTCTAAGCATCAACAGCCACACTGGAAACTAATTTGCAGATTACATTAATGCAGAACAGGTATGACAGACCACAAGACACTGACTCACTGTTGCTGGATATGTCCTGTTGCCAAGCAAAACTCAACGATGCAGAATAACCATGGTGCTAGCCTAAAATATTCTAAGTCTATTTATTATCCTGTGCCTCGAGATAGAAAGATAACACAGTGGCTTTGGGGGTCTTTTCCCAGTTACTGGGTGCAGAATATAACTATGTGTATTCCAGACCAGGGGTTGGCACAGAGTAATCCATGGGCTGCATATAGCCCCCAGACCTCAATTTTGTGGCCCCTGATGCTCCCCACTAATCTCTCAACTACTCATTTAAGAAAACTTTAGAATAAAAACTTCCTCATCAATGTATGAAACAACGTGGAAATACGAGAACGCCAGAAATCCACTCTACCCCGCAATACCTCAGTTTTCCTCTGTAGTCATTAAAATAGTGACATGAAATGGCAAAATATCACCTGTTGCCATTCTGAGATGGACTAAGGATGAAAACAGGTATTGGGTGGGTGTGCCTTGCGAAGGAGATGTGGGGACTGATCACTGGCCCACCTGCAGTTGCCTATTCCTGATCTAGAACCACACTTCCTAGCCATGGCACTAGGATTACAACTTTGACCATCTTCTGTTGGACATAACGTGCTATCATTTCAACACCCTGCTAATGCATAAGACAACAAATTTTAGTCAGAAAATCAACACCAACAACTTAGGTCAACTTATTCATGAATCAAAATTAACACTGTATTTAACTCCTATCAATCAAGAAGGATTCCCTTTCTCCGTTTTGGGGAAAATTTCCTCTCTCAAGGAATCAGCCAAATATATGCAGACATGCATCTACCATTGATCTTTAAGGGTAAGTATGGGGAATTTCCAGTTCATCTTTATTATATTATACAAAGGTATATAATATGAGAAATCAAGGGTCATTTTCCACACCAGGGCTGAATTCAGACTGCATCACTACCCAAGAATGCTAAAACAATCAAGCACTCAAAAAAAAAAAAAAAAGAAAAGAAAAAAGCAGTGTCTAAACATTGACTTTCAGCTCTGCTGTTTAAATTTTGGGGGAAGTAAGGAATTGAGACGGGACTGTTGTAAAATTGCTAATCTTGGATGTTTCCACGAAGGGAATTGGATTAAAGATCTCTCTCTGGGTGCATCTACACTGTATAATGAATTTCATTCCAACTCCCATGGCTCAGTGCTATGGAATCCTACAAGCTGTAGCTTGATGAATCACCAGCCCTCTTTGGCAGAGAAAGCCAAGATATTGTAAATCTATAACTCCCATATTTATTTTATTTGTCGTGTCAGGGCAACCAGTCAATTGTATTACATTTCTAACAGAACAAAACAAACAGACAGACAAAACACAAAATTTGCAAGTTTGGTAGTTGATTAAATGTCATTTGACCAGTATCTGGCCACTTGGAGTGCTTCTGGTGTTGCTGCAAGAAGGTCCTCCATTGTGCATGTGGCAGGGCTCAGGGTGCATTGCAGCAGGTAGTCAGTGGTTTGTTCTTCTCCGCACTTGCATGTCATGGATTCCACTTTGTGGCCCCATTTCTTGAGGTTGGCTCTGCATCTCGTGGTACCAGAGCACAGTCTGTTCAGCGCCTTCCAAGTCGCCCAGTCTTCTGTGTGCCCAGGGGGGAGTCTCTCATTTGGTATCAGCCATTGGTTGAGGTTCTGGGTTTGAGCCTGC